TATTGTGATGGCGCGTCTAGCGCCAGCAGACTTTCTGGTGACATTTAGTCACCAGTGTTGTATATAATAGACGATGATTTGGTATAATAAAGCATTGTTGTTATTTTTGCCAACAGGCTTGTGTTATTATTATTTGATGTTCTTTCTGGTGTCAGGATGGATTTAACGAACATTCGTAGACAGATCCAGATTGTTTATGCGAGGGTTGCTTCAAGAACAGTAACGGCCTCTGATGGTACATCGGTCATGGAATTAGCCAACAAAATGGTTGATTTGGAAAAAGCTGGCGAATTAAAAACTGATGAAGATATTAAAAAATCGTCCAAGTGTCATGCTATGGTGGGCGAGATTTTGGATTTTCTGGATCGTGAACGTAATCGAAGTGCGATCAAATTAGAGAAGCTACAGCTTCGGTTCTCTGGGCGTCCGTCGGATTGGCCAAAATTCAAGGCTTTGTTACTGAAAACATTATCATCATGCCCATGGTCTGTCGAAGAAAAACATCTATTGTTGGAAAATGCTTTACCTGGCTATCTAAAACGGTATTTACCGACTTCGCTGACTGATGAAAGTTTTGACTGGGTAATAAATCATTTGTCGGATAAATTTGGTACAATGGACATGCAGATCAGCGAATGGTTTAGAAATTTATCGAATGTCAAATTCTCGCCATTTGCATCGGTTTCGGAGATAGCATTGAGATTGGATCGATTGATATTTCAAGCGAAAGAGTTGGGTGTTTCCCAGGATCAACTGAGATTACCGTTTATTGAAGCAATGAAGTCAGTGATCAGTTCACATAAACGATTGGAAACTGCCATTTTACCAGTGATTAATAAGCCTCCGTCAGAAATTATTGAAATTCTCAAACAATTAGCGGATGGTGAGTTAATTTTGGGATCGAGAAAACAATCATCAAGTATCAACAGTTTTGGGTGGCAACGACGTGATAGCTTTAGGAGAGAATCTGCTTGTATATTTTGCAACAAGGATGGTCATTTATCGTTTAAATGTAATATTGGTTCAGCTGAAAGTCGAAGAAATGTGGCTGTTAACAAAAGAATTTGCTTTCGTTGCCTGAAACCTGGTCATGTTGGTGTTAAATGTACATCGAAAATAAAGTGTAACAAGTGCAATGGCAGTCATTCATCGGCTTTGTGTTTAAAGAAACCAACTTTGCACAACATGGAATTGGACGACGAGGAAAGGTCATCTTCTAATCAACAACAAGAAGCAGCTATTAAAATGTTGAATTTAAACTAGAACGCCCTCTCGAGAATTTAATTATTGTTCCAATTAGTATTAATAAAATTGTTTGTAGAGCTGTGTATGATTCTGGTGCAACTAGTTCTTTTATTTCGTCTCGTAAATTGAAACAAGTGTCAAAAGAATGGTTGGTTCCGTGCTCTAATGTGATAAAATTGGGCAATGATTCTTCGTTCAAAAGTCTCGGGAGGGCTAAATTGTCATTGACTATTGGAAATGCGGTTAAATCGGTGGACATGATAGTGGTTAATCAACTGGCGCACGATGTTATGATTGGTTTGGATGTGATCAAAGAATTCGGTCTCGAACAGCGAAAAGACTTGAATGTCTATTTGGATGGAATTTGTATTACAGAAAATCGTGCTGATCGGAATTTAACAAAGCAGGTGTCGATAAATATGATGTCTGGATCGCCGTGTGATGGTGTCAAAAAGATATTGGACGAATTTAATCAACTTTTCAGTGGTTTGGGAAAAAATGGACGGATATGTCATAAAATCAATTTGGTTCAGGATAAGATTATTCGTCATAAACAACAAGATATACCAATTCATTGGAAAGAGCATGTAAAAAGTCATATCAACGAACTGATTGAACTTGACGTTATCGAAGAATCAACCAGTAACTACCGGTCAAGAATCGTGCCTATAAAGAAAAAAGATGGATCTTTGCGGATGGCCATCGATTATAGAGATTTAAATGCGATTACGAAAGCTGATGCTTTTCCAATGCCTATAATCAAGAATATTATCATCAGATTAGCTGGTGCTAAGATATTTTCGAAGATTGACCTGAAATCGGGTTATTATCAAATTTTAATGGATTCGAGTTCAAAGAAATTTACCGCATTCGCTTTCGAGAATAATTTATATCAATTCAAACGAATGCCATTCGGATTGGTATCGGCACCACAAACATTTCAACGTTTGATGGAAAGCCTTTTGGGACATTTGGATTATGTCGAATGTTATTTGGATGACATCTTGATTTTCAGTAAGTCAGAAGAAGAACATATTCGACATTTGCGAAATGTTTTTAATATTTTAAAAAATGAAAATTTACGATTAAACCCGGATAAATGTGAATTTGGTGTGCGTAACGTTAATTACCTTGGTTTGAAAATCGGTAATGGAAGTCGATCGATCATTACAGAAAATAAAACGAAAATATTGAATTTTCCGAAACCAACCAATCAACGAGAAGTAACAACATTTGTATGTATGGCTGGTTTTTACCGTGATTTGATAAAAAATTTTGCTTATATCGCAAAACCTTTGTTCGACTGTGCTAATAGTAAAAAGTTTGAATGGAGTCCGAGAGAAGAGGAAGCATTCCAATTGATTCGAATGAACATCGAAAAAAATTCAGAAGTTAAAATTCCGGATCCGTCACTCAAATTCATTGTTACGTGCGATGCATCGGATGTCGGTTATGGAGCAACTTTGTCGCAGTTTATTGATGGTGAAAAAACAGCTGTCGATTTCTTTTCTAAAATGTTCTCTAGCGCACAGAAAAAATATTCAACGTATGATAAGGAAGCAACAGCTATTTTGGAAGCTTTAAAGCATTGGAGGCACTATTTATTGGGTCGCCCATTTCGAATCGAAACCGATCATAAGCCTCTTAAATGGCTATTATCAAAAAGTGATTGTTCGGGAAGACTGGGTCGAATGGTCATGAAGTTGATGGAATATGAAATCGAAGGAATTGATCATATAAAGGGAAATGATAATGTTTTGGCCGACACATTGAGTAGAATCCAATTGAATTTATTGTCCGATACGGTTGAGGAAACTATGGATGATACTATTAAAAAAGATCCTGGTAATTTTCAAAAGATTGACGGTCGTTGGTTTCGAGTGGAGGACCAGAAAAAACGTTTGTATATCAGGGACCAAGTGGAGCAGATGGAAATATTGAAATCGATTCACGAATATGGCCACTTCGGTTTGTTTCGAAACCAAGAGGAACTACGCAAGCGTTTTTGGTGGCCAAAATGGAAGGACGATTTGAAACAATTTTTAAAAAAGTGTGTGCGTTGTGCGGCTTACAAAGATGATATTGAACGTACACGGTTGCCTATGATTTGTGGTGAATCGGAAATGGATAATTGGCATAGGATCGGACTGGACATTTGTGGTCCTTTTGAAAAGTCGTTAGATGGTAATCGGTATATGGTTTTAGCTCAGGATTATGCTTCAAGGTTTCTGGTAGGTACATCTATGTCGGATGTGAAAGCAGAGGGTATTTCCAGATGGCTCTCGGAGATATTTTCAATATTCGGTTGGCCGTCGTTTATAAGGTGTGACCGAGGGTCACAATTCGAAAGTGCCAGATTCAGGAAATTTGCAAAAGAGAACAATATTGAGCTAGAGTTTGCGACGATTGGTCATCATCAAACGAATGGCTTGATAGAAAGAGCCAATCGAACAATGGAACAAATGATACGGACGTCCATTTCAAATCAAAAAGAATGGGATAGATGTTTGCCAAATATGATAACGGCATATAATGGTTCAACCCATTCGTCTACACGTTTGGCACCATATAAAGTAATGTTTGGTCATGAAATGCAGACTCAATTGGACGTTAAATATAATATCATACATGAACAAGAAAATTTGGAAGATTTGAAACAGCAACGAATTCGTAACAGTCAAGTGGCTCAACAATCGCAAAAATTACAGTACGATAAAGTATGTAAGTTTGAGTTTATCAAGGCCGGAGATTTAGTTTGGTGGCACTCATTGGAGCAGAAGTTGGGTTCGTCGAAGAAGCTTAATCGTCGTTGGCGAGGACCATTTATAGTGGATAGAATCGATGGACCAAATTGTATTATTCTGGATAGTCGAAATAACAAAAGATCAATCCATCGCAATCATATCAAAAAATGTGAATCGGGTATAAATCTTCCTTTGGATGTTATTAGAGACAGAGGTCGGCCAGCTCTTAGAGCTGAGCCTGGGGGGAGGTGTGATGGCGCGTCTAGCGCCAGCAGACTTTCTGGTGACATTTAGTCACCAGTGTTGTATATAATAGACGATGATTTGGTATAATAAAGCATTGTTGTTATTTTTGCCAACAGGCTTGTGTTATTATTATTTGATGTTCTTTCTNAACACTCACTTGACTGGACTTGATGTCAATCTTGTTGTCCATGGTTGACCATTTCTTCTCTATCTATCCATGTCTTTTGATTTGTTTGTCCTCTGGCAATGTCAACTATCTAAATATTGTTGTCGTTGTTGTTGAATTAAGATTCTGTGAAAAATAAATCTAGTTTCAAAGATTCATTCAAACTGTTTTTGTATGTGTGTGAATTTGATTGAATAAGTTAAAAAAGTTGGACAACAACAACAAAATGCTTGAGTGATGAAGAAGAAGAAAAGAAAATAAAGACCGAAATGCATTGAAGAAAGATTCAAAGATTAGTAATAGTTTCTGTTTTCTGTTTAACAGTCAACAAAATATCCCTGATATGAACAGAATGCAAAAATAAAAAAACTGATGAATGAATGAATGAATAAATTCCACGACATCCACATATATGGAACAAGTCAAAGTTTGCCTGAATAAGCAAAAAAACAGAAAAAACTATTTCAATCCAAATGAATCTTTTTGGCTAAGTTTCTGAAAATTTCATATCATTCTTATTCAACCACTGTTATTTTTTTTTTTGGTATCAAAATAGACATTGATTATTTGATAATTTCTTAGAACAAATGTCGTCTAACATTGTTCATTTTGTAAATCAATCAAGTATGCAAGTTTTTTTTTCATCTTCAGCATCATCAACATTCGGTAAAAAACTTTTGTTCAAAAAAAAAAAAAATTGTACAATTGGGACCGACTGGCAATATTCATTTTTTTTTTGCACTGATTTATTCCGTATGCTAGGATCACACACACATATTCTACTGTTTTTTTTCTTCTTCTTCCAATTATTCATTCATTCATTCATTCATTTGATTTTCATTATGCCTAAATTCCATTGGTATAAATAGTTTTTCAATGGTCCAACGATTTTTTTTTCTATTTCAAACAACAACGACGACGACCATAATAATCAAAAGTCAATCTTTTTTTCTTTCTTTCCTTCATTGACTTTTTTTCTGTTGGGTCTGTGTGAATATCACACTCATCATATGATGACAGGAAAAAAGTTACTAAAGCTGCTATAGACAGAATTCCAAATGTGTTTAGAGAGAGAGAGAGAGAGAGAGAGAGAGAGAAAAGGAAAACTTTGTACCAGAATAGAATGTTGGGCACAATAATGAATATGAAACAAACAAACAAACAAACGAAAAAAAATAAATGAAAAAATATGAACATCCAACAAACAAACAAACAAAAACTATTAGTGAATTTTTGATCTTTGTAAGCTTTTTTTTTTATTTTGAAAAATTCTTGCATCAACACATCAACTGACTATTTAAAAAAAAAATATTGTTTGCCACATTATACTCTGCTTGTCATTATCATTTTTGCTTTTTTTTTCTTGATGGATGCATTGAATGTATGCGGAAAAGTTTTTTTCACATGCATATCTATATAGGCGAGGTATTTTCATTAACCTCCATTCTTCCTGCTGAACAATTTTTTACTTTCAAATATATTTTTTCTTGACTTTTGAATCCATTCATTTTTTTGGTGACCACAATTTTTCTTTTCTAAGAATTTCTATTGAAAAATGAAAAATTCAAAGCATTCAAATTTTCAAAATATATGATAGTCCAAGAATATTCTTGAATTGTCGTCATAAAAAAATGATGATGATTATGAATAATTAAATTATCAAAAATGGACCATATAATGAAATGAATGAATGATAAAATGGACCATTACGAATTTTTTGGTCCATTCATATTCAATATTCAACATGATGATGATGATGAAAAAAGATTTACATATTTCTTTCATCAAAAAAACATTTTTCTTGTTTTTATGGTTTTTTTTTCTGGTTTGGTTTGTATTTGTATTTGATTAGTGGTCCATATATGTGTATTCAAATTGATAAAAAAAATAAAGGTATCCATATAAGATAAGATAAGATGGCCGTTGATGGTATGAAATGACATTACTTTCTTTCTCTCTCTTTCCCTGGCAACATACACAGTTATTATTATCATTTAAATTTTGCCATTTACCATATTTTTATATATGGGAAGAAAAAAAAAGTGAAAGAATTCGGTCTCAATACCAAAACTATTAACATTTTTGATTCCGAAAAACAAAATCGATTCCAAAACAAAATCTAAAAAAAGACTGAATTATTTTTTTCGATTAAAAATATCCTATTTTTCCAAAAAGTTTTCACGGAAATGACGAGAAAACTCACATACAATATTTAGATTTATCAGAATCTTTCTCATTGTTCATAATAATAAAACAAAACAAAACATCAAATATGAAAATCATTGCGTAGGATGTTTATTAGTTTTCAGTCCGCAAAAATTAATTAGCTTCATATTTTTGTTTTTGTTTTGTTGTTTTGTCCGACACATTCTATCAACACATAGGATTAATATTTTTCCTGTGTTGACATTTATTATCTTTGGTAAAATGGCAAAAAAATGAAATGAAATAAATAACGTGAGAACACAGAGTTAATAATAATAAAAGAGTTAAATCTTTGTGATTTACCTTGCTTACCATTTCATTTTATTTGCTTCTGTTTTTGTCACATTATTATTATTATTCTGACAGAAAATATAATTCATAATGCTGTTTTTGTCAAAGTTAATAATATTTCTTTACTGATTTTTCTCACTTATTCTGTTTGTTTGTTTGTTTGGCCAACACTTTTGCCTCAATGGCTAATAATGTATGGTTGGTTTGGCTAGTTGGTTGAATCATATATTGGATCACGCTTGATCACATGGATCATGATACATTTCATATATTTTCATTTGGATTACAACTCTTTTTTTTGTTTCTGTTTCTGTTACAAGTCTTGAATGATGAATGAATGAATGAATGTGAACAATGTTAAACCACCAAACGTGCCTTTTCTTTATTAATTAGTTTTTTTATTTTTCAAAGCCAAAGTTTAATTCACTATTTTTTTTTCTTTTTTGTATTTGATTTATACAGAAAGTGATAGATATTCTGGTGGTACTGATAGTAAAACAACAACCAGTAGTAAAACAACAATAGAACTTTATGATTCTAATGGACAAAATGGTACATTGAAACCATCAACAATATCGAATAGTTTAAATTCTCATAATCATCATTTAACCAATCATCATCATCATCCACATCATCTTAATAATAATCATATTGGCCATAATAATAATAATCATTCATTAATGAATGGTAAAAATGGAATAATAATAACAGAAACATCATTAAGTGGTGGATCACCAGCACCAGGTGAAGATGAATTCAACAGTCAAAAAAGTGATGATCGTTTTTCTGGACAAACTGAATATGAAATGGTATGATTGTTAATGCTAATTTCCCGATGTAATGTTTTTTATTTGATTTTTTTTTGATTGTCCAATCATGAATGGATTATCAGGAGATTTCAGCCAATTCAATTATGGCATTGGATGATCCAAATTTTGGTACCAACATATTACAACAACATCCATTACATTTACAAGGTGCTACCGGTCAAATACATACGATGAATGGTCAAATTAATGGAGGAGGTATGAGCACCTATTTAATTGATGAACCAAATCAAAATTCAATGATGATGATGATGAATTTGAATTTGAATGATGATAATTTTCATCTAAATCATCATCAACAACAACAACATCATCATATGATCAATACAAATAACAATAATAGTAGCAATAATACTTTACCACAACCACCATCAAGACCACCATCAATACCTGTTCATTATTCAACAAATAATAATAACAATCTACGTTATTCATCATTAGGTACCCATAATTTTTATTTTTTGTTTTGTTTAATTTTTTGTTTTTCTTTTCAATTTTCTGGCTTGTTTTTTTTCGCTAGTTACCCAAATTTCCTCATACATTTTCACTCATCATTTCAATTCTGTTTTGATGATAATTGATTTGGCTTTTCTTTCGTTTCATTTCATTTCATTTTCTATCCCTTAATTGAAACTAAATAATTTTATTATTTAGTTCTTTTCCTTAACTGAATCAGTTATAGTTTAGCCGATTCCACAGTAAAAACACAATTTTGTTTACCACAACTATAATGGGGCCATGGATTCTCTTGAGGCATCTTCAAATATTACTTATTGAACGCCCTATACTGAACACACATACAAAAATTCAAATTAGATAATTTTCATTTACTATCATCATCAGTGAATATATATGAAGGATACAGACTTTTTGTTTGGTTACTTACAAAATATGTTAGATATATCTTTACAAAAGTCCATTCTCCATTTCATTCATTTCATTCAATTCAATGTTAACCAATTCAATTTGGCTGGTTTTTTTTCTTTCAAAAATATTCCCTTGAAAACATGTCTTTCACATATCAAAATTATTCTTCAAAAAAAAAAAAAAAAAAAAAAAAAAAAAAAAAAAAAAAAAAATGCATACGAAACGCCCACAGCCATACTAATAATATTTGATTCTCAATTCTTTTNTCCTTTAAAAAAATTTTTTTCCAAAAAAAAAAATTTTTTAAAAAAAAAAAAAAAAAAAAAAAAATGCATACGAAACGCCCACAGCCATACTAATAATATTTGATTCTCAATTCTTTTTATTGTTTTTTTCTTCTTCTCATCATACATCTATCTATATCACACTAATGCATCACTTGTGTTTCATTATCATTTCTCAAGCGTTATTAATTCCATCATGATGATGATGATGATGATGATGATCATTCACATAGAATCATAAACATTCTCATTAGTTTTTTCTGTTTTGTTTTTGGTTTTGAGTTTGAGTTTGAGTTTAAGTTTGATTTCAACCATGGGACTCATCATCATCATCATTTTACTATAGATAAAAAAAAAGTACCAAATCTGATGAATATGATGAAGAATACAGTTCAAAATATAACCGCTTTTGCTTTGCTTTCAATTGATTTTTTTCTTTTCTTTTTTTTTCACACAACTAACTTTGATTCCATGTTGAATGAGTGAATTCTGTGATTCCTTTTCTAATTTCTTCACTGTTGTTTATTTTCCGTTATCTTTCTTTCATTCTCCTTAAAATGAAATGAAAATGCATTCAACCAACCTGCACACAAACACATAAAAGTAACTTTTGTCAGTATTAAATTCGGTAATGAAAAACACAACAACAACAACACAGGTCTTCAAATAAATAAGTCTTCTTTCTTCTTTCTTTTGATATGAACTTTTTCTTTATTTTCCGTTTACTTTTTTACTTTTTTTATTTTTTTTTTCACTAACTGCTGTTGCTATCATCATTTGTTTCATTTCAAATTACGACACATTACTTACATTCACATACACAAAATGACTATATTATTTTCTGTCTCTCTATCTTCATTGCAAAATAGAAAAGAAGAAAACTTCACCATCTAATCATCATCATCCTCATCACAAACAAATTAAGAATATTCAGTGAATGAATATCAAACAAAACAAAACAAAACAAAAAAACTTCCTTACCAAGATTATTATTGACTATGCTTTTTTTCTTGGCTTTTTTTTGCTTCTTGAATTCTTTTTCTTTTTTTTCCAACTTTAAAGACTGATTTTTTGATGGTTTCTTGTTTGTTTGTTTGTTGATTTTTAGGTTCAGATATTGCACCAGCAGCATTTTATAATGCAATAGCAGCTGAAGAAGATTATCTAAATGCATTACAACAACATCATCAAGCTGTACAAGCTGCAATGAATGTTAATCAACATCATCATCATCATCAAACAAATAATGTTGTTGGTGGTACATTAATAACGACCAATGGTCAAATTGGTACTATACAAACATCACAAGGACCAATGCAAATACAATTGAATGGACCACCACCACCACCATCATCAAATGATATGATCACCAATGGTTATGGTACAATTGGTGGTACACATCATCATCATGTTGATCATTCCACCACTACATATCATTTGGTTGGACCGGATGGAACGCTCATTTCGGTATGTATCCGATACCCGTTCATTTTTTTTATTTATTTTTCTGGTATTTTTTTTTTAAATTCTTGATTGATTGATTGATTGATTGATCGATCGATCAATTCATTGATTCATTTGATTCATTCAATTTCAATCAAATTCACTTTTATCAATATCTTTATTTTTTCTTTTGTTGTTTCTTTATATTATTATTCTGGAACAATTTCAAAATTCTTTTGTTTACTTCAACATCGTGTTTCAATAACAACAAAAATATAAAGATATTCTTTATTCTCTCAGCGTGTTGTATGTGGATTATTTTTTTTCTTGAGGATTATATCTCGGGCAAGAAAAATTTTGAAAGAAAAGGCTTTCTGAATAAAGAAAAAAATGGAAATCTTTTGTGTCACACAGAATGCACGTCAAAAAAAAAATCTATGCCACAGAATTTTAAAATTGAGAAAAAAATGAATTGAATGGAAAATTATTGAAATCGATCATTCAAAATTCAAATAAAAAGAGAGAGAGAGAGAAGGAAATCAGGACAATAGGAAAAAAATAAAGAATTGAAAATTCACACGATGCCTGGGTTGAATCAATACTGTTGCAACAACAGAAAAAATTGAATCAAAACAAACGGATAATACCGAAAAGAATGATAATGAAAAAAATATATCAATGAAGAAATGAATGAATGAATGTCATGCTATTTCTTAACATCATCATCATCATTTTGTAGCAAAAATGAAACAGAAAATTCCTATTTTCACAGTTTTTTTTCTAGTCAATTCAAGATTCAATAGCCAAATGTTTGTTTGTAGCCAAAAATTTCAATTTTTTTTGTTTTCAATAAATTGCAGAATAGCAATGAAAAAATTGTTTGCTTTCAACTTTTTCTATTTCCTTTTTTTCTTTATATTCGTTGTTTGATGTGACAAAGAAGACAACTTTACGAAAATAACTGCTTTGCTTGCAATTCTTTCCAGTTATTTTTTTGCTTTCTTTCTAAAATTCTCTCCTGGGCCATTTTTGACGATCATCTTTTTATTTTTTTTCGTTGTTGGCCTATGTGGTGTTTGAACCGATTGAAAATCGGTAGGGCATTGGTTTTATTTGAAAATGAATGATGGTAGTTGTTTGTTTGTGGGAAGAGAGAAAGCAAATAGAAAATTAAATTTTTTCTATTTTATCCCCCCCCAGTTTCTTCGTTTTCATTTTTATTTGATGTCCTGCCATTTGATTTGTTTCAATTCCCATTCTGAACACAGCACACAAACATACATATAAGCAGCAATCGATTTTAGATCCCGTGGGCAGCCGTTACTGTTTTCTTTATATTTTTTTTTTTTGGCACTGCATTTTGAATCTCTGGATTCTATACATTTTTTTTCCAATACTTTTCATTATGACTAATGTTTTTTTATTTCTTTTCATTTTTTTACGCAGTCATCAAATGCTTTACCACCATCAACGACAGTAATATCTTCATCAAATGGTCAAATTAGTAACGGTGGTGGTGGTGGTCTTATTCCACCACTTCCGCCATTACGCAGTATAATGCCACAGGGACAACAATCATCAACATTACAACAGCAACAACTACCACCATCATCATCCGCAGCAACAACAGTAAATGGATCGATGACCACATTTTTGCCGGCCATTACCGAAGAGCCACCAATCACTCCTATTGGTCATCTTGTTTGAAAATAAAAAATGTCGTGCATGTGATATTTCTTTCTGTGTGTGTGTGTGATGTCTATGTATGTTTTTCATTTGTTTTTTGTGTGCCATTACCAGCGGATGGTTCAAACTACTTTAAGAAAATTGTTGAACCCAAAAGAAAAAGTTGCAATTACCGAAACAAAACAAAAAAAGAAGAAGGCTATTACCGTTGTATAATCGTTTTGAAGAAGAAAAACAACATTTAATCAAGTTCTACAGTATTAAAAAAAAATCACCAATGCTTTCTACATTACATTACATCATCATCTACAGCTTCTACTTAGTCAAGAGAAAAACTTTTATAAGAAAAAAAAATTCCGGGCGCTTAGTTTGACACTTGGTGTGTATACGAAATGCCATCAGCCATCCAACCGATTTCTTTCGATTCAACATTTTTCTTCTTTTCTTGGTTTCCCGTGTGTGTACAACCCATGCTTGAAGCATTTAAAAGATTTTTCTTAAAAATAAAAAAAATGAAACGTTAAAGTAAAAAGAAAAGAAAAAAAGTTATTTCTGATCCACTCATTCATTCACATTATTAACTCTCAACTCTTCTATTATATTTTTTCAAAAAAAAAATTCAAACAATCAATCAATTTTTTCCTGCCCGATTCCATATTTGCTTTTTTGGACTGCTTGTGTGTGTGTATGTGTATTCTGTATCGTATCGTTTAAGTTTAAGTTGATTTTAAATTGACTATGAACCAAACATCAGTGTGATTATATTCCATCATCCGCCCACTTAACTTGATGTTTTTCTGTTTTTTGGAAAATGAATTTTGAAACCCATGAAAAGCACACACACACATTGAAATCTATGTCACCGTTATTGTAAATTTTTTTTGAATTTTTTTTCCATTTGAATCATATTTGGCTTTAACGCACATAAAACATGGAATCAATAGGAAAAAAATGTATTCATTTCATGTGCCTTATTTATTATCGAAACACACAAAAAAATCAACTGATTTACTTCATCAAGAGACTAGTCAATTGAATGAACGACGACGACGACGATATCCACCTTTTTTTCTCAAGATTGATTTTGTGTTATTTTCTTTTTTCTTTTTTTAATTTTAATTTTAATCGATCCTTTTAATTTGATATTCACATCCTTACAACACAGAATCTTTTCTTTGATCAATTTTTTTTGAAATTCTCATTTTATATATGGCCATAATGTGCCTCTCTAATTAACACTTTTAATAAAAGAAAAGAAAGCAACAAAAAAATGCAAAACATTATCAACATCATTTTCACAGAATGTTGCTGGTTGTTCATCATCATTGTTGTTGTAAATATTTAACACAAACATTATATACAAATCCTGTCATTTTATTTTTTTTTTTTATTATTATTAAAAACTTTGTTTATTTGCCCAAATTCGTATCATATCTATGTATATGTAACATATTTGTACCATTCATTCATTCATTCATCAAGCAGAATATAAAAAAAAGCAAAAGAAAAAATTCTCTAATAAATAAGAAAATCTCAAAGGCCTTTTCCATCTTTTTTTTTTTTGGTTCAGAATTTTGCTTTGTATGTTTTTTTTAATGTTTGTCATTTGGTTACGATGGATAAAATTTATGGTCTTGAATCCCGAAACGAAACTACTACTGTACGAGTCGTATTACTAACTTTAATTAAGTAACATTACATAAATTATATCTACTTAACAGCAACAACAACGACGACGACCTTTTTTTTCTAATTCGGCCATATTTTGATTGAATCGATTCAAGCAAGCATCAACAATCCAGAAATATTGTTCAAATTTCAAATCAATGATCATCATTGATTTGGATTTTTTTTTCTTTTCATTCAAATGAATTCAATTTGTAAAATTTATGTAAATATCTGTCATTTTCTTTTTTTTTCTTGTGTAATTGCGATTATAATTTATAATTATAATTTAATAAATTTTAAAAATAAAATAATAATAAAAATTTTTTTATAAATCAAACGAATTTATTGTTGATTCTGGATAAAAGGTGGCGTTGTTGATATTTTTTTTTTCGTTTCGAAATTGTTGAATTGAATTGCTGTCAAAAAAAAGTTTTTTCATTGTTATTGTCCTCGATCCAAAATTGTTTCCAAAAATAGAAATGAAAATCGATAAAAACAGACGACGAAAATGTCAGAAAAGAATTTGATATTACCGGACTAACCGTTAGAATGGACTAAAGAATCCAGTAAGTAGATCGACCGATGAAACACACACACACACACCTTTAGTTTAAATAGAGATAGCATTATGAATATCCAATGCTGGTACTATTTGGTTGATACAGGTTAACGACAACAACGTCAACACTTATGAAAGGTGAATGTTCTTTCTTTCTTTTTTTTGTTTCCAAAACAGTTCCTGGTTATCATTAACCGAGTCTTTTACCAGAAGAAAAAGAAATGGAAAAATCTAAATTCAACGGTCGTTGTCATCCACTATAGTTCCTGGAATATTTTTTTTTCTGGTTTTTTTCCACATTCATTTCGCATTTATGTTTTTTTATTAAATCATTGATAACTACATGAATAATATCATGGCTATATCCTTGAAGATAATTTCATTTGATGACGTAATTCATTGTGAAATTTGTAGAATTGAAAGCTATTAATAATAATAATAATGAAAAGTTGAAATGTTATTTCAATTTGACTGATGGCTCAATGAGGAAATGAATTATAATTACAATTCTATACCGCCACTATAGTATAGCATAGCATAGCTAACACCCTGACTGTGGACGATCCAAAATCGAAAATGAAAATGAACAATTCAAAATGACAAGTAGCAAGTCATGGCAACCATCATCATCATCTAAATATCATCATCATAATCATTCTATATTTAATGTTTGTCTGGTTATTTTCAAATCTAACCAGATATCTCTACTTTTTTTTCTCTCTCTTTTCGGGTAAAAATCATTTACCAAAACGTAAAAAATGTTTTCATTTCCTTTTTCACACTGGACCAAGTACGAACCAACAACATTTCGGCTGACATTTTTTTTATTTGAAAAGATCCATATCACATTTATTTTTTATGTTTGACGTCAAATTCTTTGTCCAAAATATCCAGGTTCTTTGTGTGTTTTGAGTGAACTGTATTTACTGCAAACAAAATATTTCTCATTTCAAACATCAACAACCTATCGATCGATCGATTTATTTATTGAAAACAAAAACTTGAATATAATCGGATCATTTTATATTGAAGAAATTGAAACGAATTGAATACACACATTCAACTATGAACCAATTTGACCAATTTGATTGTTGCAAAAAAAAAGTTATTAAAGTATCGATCAACAATAATAACGAAAACGAATCTAAATTGCTAAGAAAAACAATCGAATCATAATTTATTCCAATCACCTTTTTTTTCTAAGTTCAAAATTGAAAAGATCAAACGAAATGAATATGATGAATAAAGTTATTATTATTTTTTTCTCTTGATTGTTTTTTCCTTGAAATTTTTGTTGTTGTTGAATAAACTTCATCATCATTATCATCATTGATGTTTGAGCATTTCCTACCAAAAAAAAAGATGAATTCAAATCTAAAATGTATTTTGCTCGTTTATTCTGCTCTGTAAATGATCAATTCATGTGTGAAAAGCATCGATTCCGTTTTTGTTTGTGAAAATCTTTTTTCATTTCATTTCACAAACAAATTCAAACAGAACCAAAAAATAAAATTAACATTTCAAAGTGAATTATTTATTTCTTTGTTCCGGTGATTATTTGTTTGTTTGTTTTGTTTTGTTTGTAAATTCCTCATAATGATAGCCACTGTTTAAATGATGATGGTTAAATTGAATTCGCTCATCATTATTATGATTATTTCAAGATTCTCCAAAAAAAAAGACTAAGTAACAATAAGTGAATTTTGTTAACACTTTCATGGCTCATCAAATCAGACTAAAGTAAAATATCTTTGATTTTCTATCCTGTTTTTTTTTTCTTTTTCGTTTGTTTTTCGATATTACCAAGTATACATTGGTTAATTGACAACAAAATCATTGCAAATAATACAATGGCAAGATTATCAATTCAAAATCATTTTATTATTGCCATTATTATTATTATTATGATTGTTTATGATGATCATTTTGGTCAAAGTTTATCTATATTACCATCATCACCATTATCAAAATCCTCAGCCATAAAAAACAATGATACAATATTATTATCATTGAATTTATCGAATAATAATCATAATCATAATGGTCATACTTTCGTGTCAATGTTTTCAAAATTGCCATCAACATCATCATTGTCAATGCCTGTGTCATCATCACCATCATCATCCATTCATTCAAACGGTAAGTCGTAACGATTCCAATGAATCGCTTTCCAATTTGTTAATTCTTTTTTGTTCCATTTGTTCAAGTAATTTAATGCCAATTAGTTTTGTTATTTTTCTTTTTGGTTAAGCCTCTCTTTCTTTGGTTTATATTTGGATGCTAAACACACACACACACACACACACAATACTATAGTAATGTATTGAGAGAGAAAATAAAAAAGGAAAAACATATAAAGCCAAGACAAATAAAGAGTAAATAAATAAATGAGACAGCAACCAAATTCTACATCAGGAATTTGATTTGAAATGAATGTAATGAAAAAAATAATTTCCCTTGTCTGATGCATTTGTGTTAAGTGATCATAATGATGGTAATGAATTTTCTTTTTTCTTTCAAACAAAAAGCATCATCATCATCGTCTCTTTTTTTATCACATCAAACACATTCGTATAATGTCAATATCATCAAACAAGCAAATATACTTATTTGAATGAGCCAATTGTCACCATCATCATTTTGTTTTTTTGTTTTGTTTGCTTCATTACCAATTAATTAATTAATTATAATTATAATTATAATTAATATAGAATATCAATCTAATTATAATTATAATTAATTAATCGGTCACATTTGAATGGCCATGTGATATGATGATAATTTAAGAATAATGGTGATTATGATTTGCTATATGTTTGTTATCTTTGATGATTGTCAATTTGCATGCAAAACAAATTGAATATTGGAAAAGGGAAAAATATTTGAAGTTTTTTGTTTTCTGCTGCTTCTGTTGACGCTCATATCATCATACAGTGTTTTATCATTGTTTGGGTCAAACGTTTTTGACAGATTTTGTTTTTTTTCCAACTATAATCAAGTGATAGTTTGTTTATGGTGCAACACATGCTGATAAAATCTACTATTAATTTTGTTGTTGTAAAATTCATTGATATTTAATCTAAATTTCATTAGTTTTTCGTTTCGTATCTACACATGAATGAAATGATCATTTAGCTAGTTATTTTGGCTATTTCTTTTGCTTGAAAAACACACTATTGTTATCCAAGAATGTTTATTCCAAATGGATAAAGATGATTTTGACGGAGGGGGAGGGAAAAAGAAGTTCATTCGCCAATATTTCATTTTTGCACTTTTCAACAATAACAACTCTATTTCGACTCAATTCGTGTTGGAGAAAAATTAATGTCATTCTTTGTTTGAAAGTAAACACAGCCAAAAAAAAAACACCCCATTACAGAATCGACGAGAAAACCAGCAAAAAAAAGTCATTGCACCCTTGCGATAAATGATACATAATAAATAATACAAAGAAAACACCGAAACATCTTAGTCTTGTCTTGTTGTCTTTTCACATTGTTGTTCACCATGTTTGTTTATTCACCACATTAAATGAATTCATCTTATATTCCGTCAAGAATCATGAAGAAGAAGAAAAACATTTAAATTATTCATTCTTTATCCAGTTTTTCACATGTATTCTATGTGTTTGATGATGAGACATTTTTTTTTTGCATTAATGCATGTAAAATGTCATTTTGTTTTTCACCATTCTCATTTCTTTCGACAAGATAAAGAGTTTGGTAATAAAAACGTTTTTTTAACTTCTAATTTTTTTTCTTTAATTTTTTGCTTCTTCTTTTCCAAATTTCATTGAAAAAACATTCTAGAATCTTGGATCAATAATTTTCATACGAATAAAACCTGTACGACGACAAGTGATTGTCCAGAGGATGATTCATCAACAAATCAATATCATTATAAATGTGATCTAGTATTGAATCAATGTGTTTGCAATGGATTATCATATTATTGTAATCAATCGACAACAGCCAACAGTTCCAACAACGATAATGCAAATAGAAAAAATTATCATAATAATGATAATCAAACATTTTTATCGAATAATCGTAATTATTATTATTATTATTATCAAATTAACAATATTGATTATCGAATTAAACAATGAAAACAATTTGCCTAGGCATTTTTTTTTTGCCAAATATTAATTATCAATTAATAATAGAATGATATTCACATTAAATGAGATAACAATAACAACGACGACAACAACAACAAATTCACTAATGATTATATATTTTTAATAATTTATTCATTCATTTTTTGTTCTTTGTCTTTTTCCCATCTCTTTCCCATTTTTTTTCTAATTTCATTCAATGATAAAATGAAAATAACGAACGAAGGATTGAACGATTTAGTTCGTCGAATGCCAATGTTACCGATATCTATTGTACTCATATCAATGTTTATCAGTATTTGTATTGTATTACAATTATTTGCCAAGTAAGTATTATCAATTATTATTATTATCATTGAATGTCTCTAATCTTTCTTTCTTTCTTTCTTTTTAATATTCCTGTTTGTTTGTTTTATCATCAACCATTACCGTAATGAATCTAAATGATTCTTTTTGTCTGTATTGTTGATATGATGGTCCATTCAAATCGTATTCAATTTATAAATATAGGGCTCGTTTTCGTAATACTCAACGTTCAATATTTGCTAATCCACAGAAATTAGAATTGGCCAAAGCACAAGAAAGACGTTTATCTCAGTTATCACAATTATCCGGACAACAGCAACAACAACAACAATGGTCATCAGACAGAGGAATGATATATTCATTGAATCATCATAAATATCCACGATTATCATTGCCACAGGCACCAATATCTTTATCATCATCATCGATGTATAATCATCGATCAGTACGTAATAGTTTAGGTTCAACAAATATTGTTCCTACAGCAATGATTGGATCAACATTGACATATCCGACTCCTATGTTTGACAATTCAATCACTGCTTTATCATCATCATCCTCCACATCATCATCGTCGTCGTCGAAATCATCAAAGAACATGATGAAACAAAAACAAGGAACAATCAATGTCAATCTACAATAATCATGATGATGATGATGATAATGGAGAATATCATGCAAAAAAAAAAACAAAAAACATTATGAAAAACTATATGACCACATCGAAAGAATTTCATTTGAATTGTTATTGCTATTCATTATTATTATTGATATTCCATTCAGCATTGTCGGGAATTGTTTTTTTATTATTATCGTTGAAATTCTTTGCATTCCATTTCATTTGAATTTTTCTTCTTTTTTTTTCGGTGCGACCCAATCTTTCGATCTCAATAAAATCAAATTGTTTCAATATATTTCAAATGAAAGAAACAAAACAAGACAAAAAACAAAAAATTATTGGCTAAAGAATTGGTTCACAATTCGTTAATGTTAGCAAACAAAACAAAGAATAAATAAATACAAAAAATTTTATTGTGATTTCAATCGAATACGAATACATTGACAAAATGATTTTTTTTTCTTTTATCCAAAAAACCATTATCTGGCTTTTTTTATATTTCACAAACAAAAAGTAATATTATCATTATGTCCAAAACAAAAAAGAAACAAGAACAGCATAACATTATTATTATTATTATTTTGTCTTTTTTTTTTGTATGCCAAATCTCGAACAAAATGAATTGTAACATACATATTGGTTATCTATTGATTCAAATGTTCATCCAAAAAAATAAAATAATGTCCTCCCGATTTAATCCGATTGCTGTTTTATCATCATCATCATCAATATGAAGAATTCTTTCTTTTTTTAAAGAAATAAATGAATCCATCAACATAATTATGGATGATTATTTTATTAGTATTTTTTCAAGTGATTTGTCGATGTCATCCTTATTGAGCTTAATGATGATTTTTATTGAATACAAGTAGTCTTTTGTTAAACATAATGTTTTGTTTGTACAAAACATTTTCATTTTTAAATTATCAATTTTTGCAATAATAAAGACATTCATTTTTTTTTCATTTTACAAATCCGATTCATTTGATTTATAATTTATAATGATGATAAATTAATACAAAGGATGGCGCTAATATTCGAAAAAACCAAAAAACAATAGTGATTCGAACTTTGAATAACAGATGTCGATGTAATTTTTAACAAAAAAATAAAAAATTAAATTACAAAATTACAAATTGTAAAACACGTGTCGCCATCTATTTTTAAAATATTTTGTTTTATTTTCAAAACAATTATTTTACGGAAAAAAAGTAAACACAGTAGCTACAGAATCATATTTTGCTGAGCAAAAAAAATAAAAATTATCGTTTTATTGAATATACAAAAATAGAAGCCATTGATGGCGTTTACAATCATTAATTTTTTTTACATTAATAAATTTAGTTACATAAATGGAAATACAAAAGATAAAAAGAAGAAAATAAAAAAGATAAAAACTTAAAATTATTGCAATATACTTTTATCGGGTATATCCCAATTAGCTGTCAATTTATGACCATCAATTTCGATTGATCCTGAAATGAATACACGTCTAGTACTTGCAGCTTGTGAATGTTCATGAAAAACAATTATTGCTTCTTGTCCACAATCATCAACACTACTACCATTAACGATAATTGTATCAAGATTTTTTGCTGGAAATAAACGAATATCTTCAATACCAATTAAACATAAACGTTGTTGTAATTGTTCAGATGATTTTATCGAATTAGGTATACCACGAACACGTAAACGATTATTATTTACTGAAAATTCAACCTGTACAGGTAATGAATATGATGAACGTATACATTGACCATTCAATATTTGTACAGCACGTAATGATGATTCAATATCAGCAAAAATAGCATATGCTTTTCCTTTAGTAGCACCAGATAATGTCATAATAATACGTAATTGATAAATAGGACCAGCTTGCATTAGGAATGGTAATAATTCATCTTCATATGAATTTTGTGGTAAATTACTTAAATAAATTTCATGTTTACGAACATCATCATAATAGGGATTTATACGAAAATCATCATTAATTGGACGAATAATACGTTGACCATTTTCAATAACCAATTGATACAATGGATGTGTACCATTACGAATTGAATCAATAATTACTCTATTCATCAATGATGATTCAGATAATGATGATGATGATGATGATGATGGCGATGAAAAAAAGGACATTTTTTTTTTGGTAAAAAAAAGCAAAAAATATCGAATGAACCAGAAAAAAAGCCAAAATACGAAACGTAATCGAAACGAAATGAATTTGCTTCAATGAAAAAAAATGACCCTTTTTATATTGAAAATATGTATTGGTCATATCGACCATTATGAGAATCCACTACCTACCAATCATTTCTTATCATTCGAATCAATCAAATCGAATCCATTTTTAATATTCAAAAAAAAAAAAGAGAAAGAGAAACGCATACACATTTTTTCCTAGCCCTAGGGCCAAATGTTTGTGTTTGTGTGTGTGTTTTTTTTTCTTGAATTTTGTTCTCCATCCACACACACACATATACATTCATTAACACGTTCGCTGCCAGCGATGGGTCGTCCATTTGCTGGGTTTCAATGTGTTTCTCCAAACCGCAGTTAGCGAATGTGTTAATGTAAATATACTGGACCTTCGTGCGTGTGTGTGTGGATGGATCGAACAAAAGAAAAAGGTAAACTTTGTTTTCTCTGTTTTGTTTTGTTTAAGACAAAGGTTTTTTGTTTTGGTTGTTAGGATTAAAAAAATTTTTGTCAAACAGTATGGTTTTTGTTTGGTTACTAACCAAGAATTTTGTTTCGATTTAACTTTTTTTTTACGTTTTTTACGTTGTTTACGTTTTTGTTGTGAATGCCCTTTGAACTCTTTTTGTTTGTTCAAAGTAAGGTAATCACTGATTAGGATACTGTTTTTTTAAAAACATTTTATGGCTTTGGTTTTTAAAATTTTGTTTCTTAAAAAAAATGGTCAATTTTTTCAATCTTTTTTTTCACCATTTCGAAGTTTCAAATTTTTCAATGGATTTTTCATTGCAAATAATGAGTCATTTTTTTCGGGGAGATGGTGATGAAATGGTGAAAAAAAAAACTTATTTCATTTAAAGCTAAGCTGTAAGAAAAATTCTTTTGAAACAAAATTTTTTTCCAATGATGATAATGGGAAGCAATGATGGATGAGCAAGACGCGACCATTTGAAATTATTTATGAATTACATATTATGAATTTCAAATTATCAATCTCTTCATCATCAGGTTGTAGAAAAAAAACAATTTATTTATTTAAAGAAAAAATATACAAGTATCGAAATGTAAGACTATAAACAATTATTTTTCCCTCAAACAACAACGACATAAATTTTTCATTTCATTTCAATAGTTACTCTCAAGCTAATCTCCCTCGAGAAGCTCAAGTAACTTATCCATCTCATCATCATGGATCACCTCCTCAAGCCCATCTCTTAAGTCAATCAGGATGCTTTCGGCCGTTTTTTTAATCGTCTTGTATTTGATGTATGCCTGTGTTCTTGGGTCCACCTGTAACATTTCCATCAGGTTGTAGATATAAGGATGCCATAGGTACACGTGCTGGTTTACATTAGGATTACATTAAGATTATATTGTTCAAGAATTTTTTTTTTGATTGATTCTCCTTGCCAAAGTTCGAAATGATTTGGTTTTTCAATAATTTCTACACAAAGGAAATCATGTACTTTTCCGATGTCAGTTACTTCAAATTGAATACGCTACTGAACTATGCTTATCGTTCTGATGTAGATATTCTAAGAATGTTTTGGTGAATTCACACGTTGGCAATACAATTGGATATTTTTCGTCGTATTCTAATTCAGCATGCTCCAATCTGGTCAAACATCGTGCTAAACCTTTTTCGTCATAGAACAACGGTTGCCGTTTCTTGAATTGCTCGTCTCTTGCTTTTTTTCAAAAACTGTTTCAAATCAGCCTTCCAATCTGGCCACCAGAAACGCTTACGTAGTTCTTCTTGATTTCGAAATGGCCATATTCATGAATAGATTTTTATATCTTCATCTGTTCCAAATGGTCCCTGATATACAAACGTTTTTTCTGGTCCTCTATACGAAACAAACGACCGTCAATCTTCTGAAAATTATCAGGATCTTTCTTGATAGTATCGTCCATAGATTCCTCCGGTCTCTATTAGTTCGAATTCGAACTTGGCTTTTCATTTTTATATCTTCGTTGTTCTTTTTCGAACTTTCCTTTTTCCCATTTTTTATGATATAATAAACACGTGCTTCAATTAAATAAAGTTCAATGTGTTACAAATTCTCAACCAGTTTGTTCTATTTATCAGTGAATCTGTTTTTGTACATCGACAATAACCATTTGAGTGGCTTATGGATCGGTTTCGATACTGAACGGACGACCTAACCAAATAATGTTTCCAATGTTTTAAATATTATATCTATTTTTTTCTCTTCTCTGTACTCATATATATCTCTGACACATGTACACTTTTTCAATAGTGTAAATATTTTCAATTGTCTTTTAAAATCTTTTTTTTTCACCATTTCGAAGTTTCAAATTTTTCAATGGATTTTTTCATTGCAAATAATGAACCATTTTTTTTTCGGGGAGAGAGGGGATGAAATGGGAGAAAAAAACTGATTTCATTTTTAGCGAATAAAAAATTTCTTTTGAAACAGAAAAAAATTTTTTCCAATGATGATGATAATGGGAAGAATCTTTTTCTTATCACTGGTTGTTTCATTTGATTTTTTTTGTTTGTTTGTTTGTTTGGATCATAACAAATACGCACACGCAATAATATAACCAATGATTTCGGTGCTATAGCAAGTTGTCGTTGTCCTCGAATGGAAAACTACAGAAAGAAAAAAAAATTTATTTCACTATGGGAATTTTGTTTTGCTAATAAAGAAAGTAATAACAAATGGCCTAAATCGTTGAGAATTTTCGTCGTTTGTTGTTGTTGTTGCTCAACTATCTTATTCTAAACTACAACAAAAAGCTCAAATGTAGTCGTATAATGATGGTGTTTTCTTTCCCCTTGATTCTTTATGATGAGAGCTTTTTTGCCGCATCATCGTTGGAAAAAGAAGAATCGATTTAAGAAGTTGCAATTCCGGAAACATTAACCCTTTGAATACGAAGGAAAAAATATCAAATTAATAAAAATGGACAACAAAAAAAAATTTGATTGAATTAAATGTCAAATTGTAAGGACAAATTGTTCATTGTCAATGATGATAAAAGAATAATTTAGCAATTCAGCAGCAGTTAGTTTGAATGAAAAAAATTGTATTTTCATTCATAAACTTTCTCTATATATTCAACAACAAAAAAAAATGTAGAAAACAAGAAGGATTCACATTGTTATTTATCATCTTGTTAGGAAAATTAGATAAAAAAAAACGAGCGAGCCAAAGCTGAAGATTGATAATGGGCCCTTGAAAGAAGAAGAAAAAAAATTTTGATTCATTCATCAATCATTTTGAATGTTTCCATCCATATTCATGGTATATAATTTGTGGGCATGAACCGATTTGAGTGTTTGGCTGATTCCGCAATGAATCCAGAATCTCTTTCTCGCCCTCTATCGTTTTTTTTNCCGTTTAAAATCTCGTTCGAAGATGAAGTCATCAATAATCCGAATCTAATGGAATCGAAGAAGCGTAATTTACTTCTTAAGGTTCTTGCTGATGATGCTAAGGACAGAGCTATGGACCTTGTTAGGCAAGGTCAATCTCTACGTTCTATTTGGATCTCGTTAAATGCTTACTATGGCGATCCTAAGAAAGCTGACGAGTATTTATTGAAGCGTATACGTTCAATAGTTTTCGTGAACACTTCATTCGAATCATCGAAAATCGAAACCATGCTTAATGAAGTTCGACGAATTTCTAGCGCTGCAAACAGCCTTGGTGCAGCTTACGTATCTCGATCGAATTCATTGGTTAAGGAGGTATTGTGGCGCTGTGGTCGACAACTTCGTGAAAAACTTGCGCATGTCGAATCGTTCGTACAATTGGTATCCGAGTTAGAAAAAATATACAAGTCGGCATTATGTCTGGATACCTTCGAACGACGTAATTTCGTTCGACCTTCACCGGTGGCAGTTGCTTCAGCGGTGAGCTGCATTTTTTGTAATCGTTCTCATGCATCGGCAGATTGTTCCTCATCTATGCCGGCAGAAGAAAAGAAAAGAATTATGCTCGCTAGCAGAATGTGCTATAAATGTATTTCTCCTGGGCATCGTTCGTCTTCATGTCCAATGGCTTCTTCTATTCGATGCTCTATCTGTCATTTAAATCATCCAACTGTGCTTCATCAAGTTCGTCTCTTCGAAAATCATAATGATCGCAATAATCATCCGTCTTCCTATCGGTCGTCGTCATTTTCGTTACCTTCCGCACCACCAATGTCTTCTTTGCCTTCGTCTTCTTCGTCTGTCGCACCATCGTCTTCGTCATCGCCGTCATCGTCATCGTCTTCATCATCGTCTTCTCGTCCTTCTACTTCTGCTGCTATAGACTCGTTACCATCATCATCTTCAACTGTGTCTTCCGTTACCGTCCTTCCGTTTTCGTCAACCAATTCAAATGTTTCGTCAGAATCTTCATCATCTTTTGTCGCTGTTATTCAATCCTATGATGATCGCTCATTGGTAGCTCGTTATGATGGAGTAGCTCCAACTTCGACAACTTCTGAACGTCCCGCGTTTGTGGTCAATTTAAGGGGACGTAAATGCATGGTTTGGATCGACACCTGTTCTCCGTTCACATTAATTCGTAAAAATCTCGTTAATGATTTCGATTGTTATCCGGCTAAGCCAATATGTCTTTCTGGTTTCGCTGGTGGTTCCGTCACATGTTCGAAAGAAAAAGTTTCTGTTCATCTTCGTTCAGAAAACATTAATATCGCTATCGATGCTTACGTATTACCTGTTTTACCTTATTGTGATTTAATTATCGGTACCGACATGCTTCATCGTATTACTAAGATTGGTTCGTCAAAATCGTTGAAGTGGGAATCGAAATTTGGTGATATTTATTATGGTTCAGTAGCATCTATCAAGGAAATCGATATAAACAATGATAGTGGTGATGATGATGAAGAAGAATTGGATATGGAGGTCTTCCGATTAGCTAATGGTCGTTTTGAAGCCAAATTGCCTTTCCTTTCGGATTCCCGACCTCGGAATAATTATTTTAAATCGCTATTTTTGTTGGACAAATTGGTCACTCGCTTACAAGCCCAAAATTTCTATGATCGATATCGCGAAGAATTCATGAAATATGTTTCTTCGGGCCAAGCAGTTGAAGTTAATGATACTGATGGTTATTTCATTCCTCACCATGCTGTAATCCGTGAAAAATCGTCTTCGTCTCCTGTACGTATCGTATTTAACGCATCCTTTGGTCATAATAATTCGTTGAACCAGATGTTGTGGAAGGGATCTGTTTTGGGTTTGGATGTCTTGCCACACCTTTTTAGAATCCGTTTGTTCAAATTTTTATGTACTGCTGACCTTAAAAAGGCTTTTCTTCAAGTATCCATCCATCCTGATCATCGAAAATTTTTACGTTTGCTTTGGAAAGAATCCGATGGTTCTATTAAAAAATTCGAAATGACCGTTCTGCCATTTGGTGTGATATCGTCTCCGGCAATTTTAACCCAAGTTGTCAATCGTATTATTTCGTCTATTTCTGATGATAAAATTCGTGGAATCCTTTCTGGAGTATCATACATGGATGATTTATTATTCGGTTCAAATGAAGAAAAGGATCTGCGAATTGCTATAGTAGAAGCTAAGAAAGCTTTTTCGTCCTCAGGCTTTGAATTGCATAAAATTTGTTCTAATTTATTGATTCCGGATAAGTTTTCTAATGAATCTAGTCTTTTGGGCGTAATCTGGGATACTGAAGAAGATACTATTGGTATTAAAGAATCTCTGGATTTTTGCGAGAATTCAATTTTAACAAAAAGAAAAATTCTTTCGATAATTGGTCGTATTTTTGATCCTTTAGGATTAATCGATCCTTTGAAATTTCCGTTAAGACTATTGTTTTCTAGAATCGTATCTTTTGAATGGGATATGCCGGTCAATGATGAGATTGCTAACGAATGGAGATCAATTATTAATCAGTTGCCCGATCTAAAACAATTGAAAATTCCTCGTTACATTTCTGATCAATCAAACTTATTTTGTTTTGCAGACGCAAGTTCTGAAGGTATCGGCTATGTAATTTATCTTGGATCTAATTTCTTTTTTGGCAAAAGTAAAATCGCTTCCGCTTCAAAAACTATTGTTGATAATGAATTATTGGCCTTATTCGAATTGGTTAAAATGGTAGAACGAATTCGGAAAATTTTAAATCAATTTCAAGTTTTCCCGGAGATTCATATCTATTCAGATTCCAAAATTAATCTTGATCGCCTAACCAATTCTCCCAACAAATTCAAATCTCACATCGGAAGAAAAATTATTCGTATCCAAAAGTTTGTTTTCGATACTTCTGCTGTTGTGCATAGAATATCCGGGTCCTCGAATCCAGCAGATATATTCAGTCGTTCTATCTCTGCATCAAGATATATTCGCGCCAAACCTTGGTTTTTAGAAGTATCGGATTTGCCAACTGATTCTGTTCCTGTTGTTTCGGTTTGCGCGATTAAAGAAGAAAAAGTTGATACTGATTTCGTTTCATTTCTTAGCCGTTTTGCATCTATCGGAAAAATGATTCGTTGGATAGAAAGAATTCGTCGGTGGGCGCCGAAAAGTGTTCAAGATCGTATGATTGAAAATTTATTTCTTTTAATACGTTGTTTCCAAAAGGTATCGAAATTTTCTTCATCGCATGACCACTTTACAGATCATCGTGGTCTTGTCGTTTATAAGATGCGAGATGGAATTAATTCCGTTTGGATACCGTCTAATTCGGCACTAGCTGAAATATTGTTAATGGAAGCTCATCGAGCATCTAAGCACAATGGTTTGAAATTGTCATTATCGCAAATTCCTATTGAATTAGTTATCGGAAACGCGAATCGGTCTATGGCACGTTTAATTCATCGATGTCCTATTTGTCGTGCCCGTCGCGCTAATTCTTATTCCGTTCCATTTGGTCCTTCTTATCATGAAGTCGATGTTTATTCTGGACCATTTTCTCGTATTGCAATTGATGGGTTTGGACCCTATTCCTTAAAAAATGGCAAAAAATATTATGGTTTGATTGTAGCCTGTTTGTCAACTCGTTGTCTTCGTATTGGTATTTTGGAAGATTTGTCGCCTTTGTCAGCTGCTCGTGCTTTGAATTCTATCTTCCACGAAGTTGGTTACCCAAAATTTATTTTATCTGATAATGGAACCAACTTCAAGCCTATTAAGTTAGCTTTGGAAAAAGCTAAGATGAATGTTGTCTGGTGGACTTCTGCTCCGTATGCACCATGGCAAAATGGCACGGCTGAAAGATTCGTCCGAATGGTTAAATCATGTATGTCAGTCTACAACAAAAATTGCCGATCATTATACGATGTTGTTCTTCGTTTTCGAGAAGTTGAATCTATTGTAAACGCTCGTCCAATTATTGTTATCGAACGACCTATTTCTGCTCATGAATTTTGTTTCAATAGGCCATTACATTTTATTAACGAAATCAATTCGGATTTAAAACCAGTTGATTTAAATCGTCTATACCGTTTTAATGCGGATCTGAAACATCGTTTCATCAAAATTTTAAAGCTACGGTATTACAACTTGTATCGGTTTCGTCCAATGGTAAAACGTGAAGAAGTTAAAGTTGGCGATTTTGTTCTTTTATCGGATAGAAAAGACAAAAACGAAGTTTGGCCTTCTGGACAAATAACAGAATTACTTTATGGTCGCGATGGTCATCCGAGATCAGCTATCGTTTCTTTCCGTGGAAATCTACTTCGTCGTCCTCTTACTGGTTTAATTCCAATCTGTGGCGGGAAAAATTGTTGAATTACGGTCTTTTTTTTTAGTTCGAATTCGAACTTGCCATTTTTTCGAACTTTCTTTGTTTCCTTTTTTTTTAATATATAAACTCATGCTAAAATTTAATAAAGTTCCAATGCGTTAAAATCCTCAATCAGTGTGTTCGTTTTTCTGTGTATTTGTTTTTGTACAATTTTTCTTTTTTGAGGATATAAATTTTTTCGTTTTCGTTTTCGTTTTCTTCGTCTTCGTCTTGGTTTAATCTGGTTTTTTCGTCAAATCGATATCGTTTAAATCTCGTTTCTTCGTAAAATCGGTCAGAATCCGTTTCTCGTCACATCGTATCATAAAATTCGTTCCGTTCCTGCCTCATATTCGTCGTATCTCTATCGTTTTTTCTCGTCATTTTGTATCTTTATCGCTAGGATTATATTCGTATTGTCGTCATCACTTCGTCTTTTTAATATCGTTCTTTTTTTTTCGTTGGTCAATTATGTCTGTCAATCAATCAGATATTACTCATCGTAAAATAATTCGTGCCAAAATTACCAAGGCTTGCAACCAATCTTTGAGTTTGACTTTAGAAGAATTGATTCAACTTCAAAGAGAATACGACATAATCAGTGAAAAATGTTTAGCCGATTCGCCCCCTGATTATGAAGATCAAAAATCGAAGGATGATTTGTACAAACAGAAAATTTCAGCATTAATCGTTCTGGAGCGTGCAAAAAATACTTTAACTGCCATATCTATCGTTGATGAGGAAGCTGAAGAATCTATTTTAATTCCGAATCCTGTTCGTGCTTCATCTCCTGTTATCAATCCTAACAATTCAATCGTTGAAAATTCTACTAATCCATCTTATCCTATGAATGTCCGTGCTTCTGATCTTTTAAACTTCGATGGTAATGTCATGAACTGGTTTCCGTTTAAAATCTCGTTCGAAGATGAAGTCATCAATAATCCGAATCTAATGGAATCGAAGAAGCGTAATTTACTTCTTAAGGTTCTTGCTGATGATGCTAAGGACAGAGCTATGGACCTTGTTAGGCAAGGTCAATCTCTACGTTCTATTTGGATCTCGTTAAATGCTTACTATGGCGATCCTAAGAAAGCTGACGAGTATTTATTGAAGCGTATACGTTCAATAGTTTTCGTGAACACTTCATTCGAATCATCGAAAATCGAAACCATGCTTAATGAAGTTCGACGAATTTCTAGCGCTGCAAACAGCCNATGAATGTCCGTGCTTCCGATCTTTTAACCTTTGATGGTAATGTTATGAACTGGCATCCGTTTAAAATCTCGTTTGAAGACGAAGTCATCAACAATCCGAATCTAATGGAATCGAAGAAGCGCAATCTACTTCTTAAGGTACTTGAAAATGATGCTAAGGACAGAGCTATGGACCTTGTTAGGCAAGGCCAAACTCTTCGTTCTATTTGGATCTCGTTAAATGCTTACTATGGCGATCCTAAGAAAGCTGACGAGTATTTATTGAAGCGTATCCGTTCTATCGTTTACGTTAACACATCATTCGAATCTTCGAAAATCGAAATCATGCTTAATGAAGTTCGTCGAATTTCTAGTGCTGCTAACAGCCTTGGTGCAGCTTACGTATCTCGATCGAANTGGTATATAATTTGTGGGCATGAACCGATTTGAGTGTTTGGCTGATTCCGCAATGAATCCAGAATCTCTTTCTCGCCCTCTATCGTTTTTTTTGTTTGTTTGTTGTTTGGCTTGCGAAAAGCAAAAGAATTGAACAAATTTGAATCGAGTGTGTGTGGGAGAGAGAGATAGAAAGAGAAAGTTTTTGAATCTTTTTTTTTGGTTTTTCAAGGGCTACGTCATTCGTTGTTTGAATATCATCGATGAAAAGACAGCAACCAAAATGTAGAAAACCAAAAAGTTTTTTGTTCATTTGTTGTTCAATTTCATTAATCGTTTGATGATAATTCAAATTCATTATTCATCATCAAAACATTATTTGCGTAAGACAGACAGAATCTTTTCTTTTCAATGTTTCAAATTTTGTTGTTGTTGTTGTTGTAGAATTTCCATCAAAAATTCATTGCAATCATGGTCATCATCATCATCATAATGCTAATGATGATGACCATCACAACAATGGTAAATGCTCAACAAGAATCGTCAACAACAGTATTGAATAATCAATCTGAACAATCAACAACATTGGCCAGAATGATTCTTCAACGAATAAAACATGGTAAGCTTGGAATTTTTGCAATATTTAAAACAAACAAAAAAAACATTCGTTTGATTACCATTTGATAATAGCCTACAATTCAAACATTTTTTGTTTGTAAAAATCTATTTTTTTTACTGTTTTGAAACCAAAGTGTTAATAAGTTTCACACAATAAATTATTAATAGCAATTCAGTGATTCTTGAAAACAAGAATTCAAATCACGTTTATTTTTGTTCCATTTGATTCTGGTATTCACTTATTCACGGCTTTTTTTGCCATTTAAAAGCAGAAAAAATCTTGCTAAAACTATTTTGATCCACCCAATTTTAGCTAAAATGTTACGATTATTATTATGATGATTATGGTGGTCAGTCAGTCAGTGATCATTATGAAGATGATGGTAATGAAAAAAAACAAAGGTAACAATAAAAAACGCCCAAAAACAAACAGGATCATTATGGTTTCCAAAAACAATGCTTTTCGAACGAATCTAGCTAGCAATATTGACAATGATAAATTGAATTGAAAATAACAATATTGTCATATTGATTGAATATGGTTATCAATTTTATTTTCCTAAATATGGCTAACAGAAAGCAAAGCAAATCTGACAATGATAACAAAAAAAAAATTATGTTTGTAGTGTGCGTGCAAAAGAATTAGATTAATAATTAATCAATTAGCTTAATTAATTGAATTTGATCCGTTTTTTTTCTTCTTCAAAGACATAACCGACAACAAGACATTCAGCCAAACAGCCAATGTTTTCGAATATCAAAATTGTATAAATGATAATGATTGTAATGATAATCATCAGGATAATCGATCAATTATCTCAACAACAACAACAACAACAACAATATTGCCTTCGACCTTTAAATTTGAATGCCATGAAGGTAAATTGAATTTGAAAATAGTTTTGAAATTAGTTATTATTAATAATAATTTTGATTATCATTGAAATTTTGAAGGTTTTTGTCGTCGTCAGAATCAATCATTCAATATCAATGATGAGCAGGAATCATCAACGACAACGTCGACGACGACGACGACGACGACAAATAGAAACAGATCGGGAAATCATATGATTTTAATATTGATCATAATGGCCATCATGTTTTTCGGTATGTGTATGGCAATGAATCTATTCAGTCGGTATGTAAATTTGAATCTTGAAAAACCCTTTTTTCTATGCAAAAAATTTTTTCATTTCAAAAGAGCACGTTTTAAAGAACGACGTGGAATATTTTCAAATCCACGTTTGTTAAAAGTTGCCACACATAATTCATCCACATCATCATCATCGCAAAAACAAGAACATCTTGATCATAAAAAAATTACAAATTCAAATCGAAAACATCATCGTTTACGTTTATTACATGATTCAAAATTTCGTAATAAACATCATCATCGAAATAGTCGACATGATCGAACTCGTCGTCATAATAATGGTGATGATTGTAATGATAGTGATCAACAAAATGATGAACAGCAAAAAATTACCACAATCGATATGGATATCGATATGAATGTTTTACCGTCAGATAATCATCATAATATGTAATTTTGTTTGATAAAAATAAAAATTAAAAATTAAAAACTTTTAAAATGAAATTCAAATTACAAAAAAAAACGTTCTTGCTGCCATCTATTTGTTGAAATAAAGACAAAATTTGTTTTTTTTTTGAAAATTTTAAATTTTGTTTTATTTAAATTTAATTGAAAAAAAAATATATATCAATAGACAATTTTCGATGAATGTAAAGTATATTATCCATGTTAATTTTATGATTATTAATTATATGTGTGAGCATAGTTGTTAAATTGCCATGAGTCGATTGTGTGTGTGTGTGTTTTGGGTATATAAAACAAATACGAAATAACGATACAACAATTGAAAAGATGGATAAATGATAATAGATAGAAAGATAATTATAAAAAAAAATTATCGTCCACTATCACCTCCACCATCATCATGACCACTATCAACATCACTATTTGTTTGTCGACGATGTTTACGTCGTTTATTTTTACCACCATGTTTTCGATGTTTTTTAATTGGTGATGTTGATGATTCATGACCATCTGATTCTTTTTTATCATCAGAATCCGATTCAGATGATGATGATGATGATGATGAATTATTACGTTTTTTCGATGATGATTTATGTGATTTTTTCTTTTTAGATTTTTTCGATTTCTTTTTCTTACCACTAGATGTGGATTTTTTCTTGCTCAATAATTCTTTGAATAATTCACCATCCGAAATATCATCAATTTTATCGCTACCAGCAAAAGATTCATTGTCATCATCATCTTCATCATCCGAACTGCTGCTTTTTCGTTTCTTACTACGATGTTTACGATGTTTTGAATGTTTACGATGCTTTTTTGAGCTATGTTTTTTATGTTTTTTGCGTTTATGTTTTCCGCTACCATCATCTTCTTCTTCATCATCATCATCATCTTTTTTACGTTTTAATGAACGATTTACATCCTCAATACTATCATCCGGTTCATCATCACTATCTCGATGTTTATTACGCCGTTTATGTTTGCGATGTTTTTTCTTGGTTTTTTCATCATTATCATCATCATCATCATCACTCGAACTGACTGAGTGTTTTGATTTTTTCTTTCTTCGTTTTTCAGATTCTGGATTTTTCATTCTATTGGATTTTTCAAATGAAAATAAAAGAGATTAGTGGAATATTTGACAAACAACTTTTATCTTACCGTTCATTTGATATATCTCGTTCTCGGAAAGAACCTGGCAGTGTTGATGGTTGTTGGTGATGTGATGATGGTAGAGGAACATTTGATTTATTTGCTTGAGAATCATGATAATAATTCCGTCCCGATGATGGTGGTGGCTGAAAGCCATGTTGTCTTTGTGTATTAAAATTATGTGGTGGAGAACGACTTATCGAACGAGAATGATTGATTGGTGATGGAGATCGATGCATTGGTTTACGTGATGATGGTGATGATGGACGACGAATATTATTATTCATCATAGGAGAACCATGTCGATTTTGATGCGATGAATTAATTAATTGTGATGGTGGCGGTGAACGTGAATAACTACGATCGCGACGACGTTGATACCCTCGTGGTGATTGTGGCGAACGATTTCCACGATATGATTGCTGTCGATGATGATATTGGTCACGCGGACGATATGGTGCTCCACCACCACGTCGACGATAAAATGGCGGTGGTGAATTTGAGTTTGACCGCCGTAATGGTGATCTAAAACGTCTTCGGTTTGTTCGACGATCAATAAATCTGGGACGATAATTATCATTACGATTTGAACGAGATGGTGGTGATGAAAATGATGGTGATCGTGATCTTGATACAGACCGTTTTCGATTACCGGCATTTCGTTGTCGACGATTAGATATTGATGGTGAACGAGATCGTGATCTAGATTTTGAACGATTATCTAATCGTTTTCGAGATTTACGTTCAGTTGAATTTGATCGGGAACGAGAACGACGTCGAGGTGATCGACTATTGCTTCGTTTTTTCTGATCATCGTTATTATTACCAGCGTTATTACGTCGATGATGGTCATTACGACGTCGTACATCACGATCTTTACTATGGCTACGACTACGATTACGTTGATCATTATTAGGACTTTTGCTTCTAGACTTACGTTGTAATTGTTGATTATGATTATGATGATTATCATTTGTTGATTGATTCGTCTGAACATTCGAATTTTTAGGTGTTTCGGTTTTTGTTACACCATTCGATTCATCACCACCAATCGATTGTTGTTCTTGACGTTTGTGTATTTCAGCCATTTTTTCTGCTACTAATTGTTGCGGTATACCATCATCGGTTGTCATTGCATCCAATAATAATGTCCATAAACGATCCATAAATTCACGAGCACGTTTACCATCAAGAAATCCGGTCAGATTTATTTGCATAGTTTTACCATCAGGATAACGTTCTTGTTCCAATTGATTGATAACATATTCGTAAACTACTTCATCATCAAGACCAAGCGAAATTGTTATCTGTTTCTGTATCCATGGTTTGATAATTTCCAAATTGACTTTTTTTATATCAACTTTTTGATTCAATACATCACTGAATTTTAATTGTTTTAATAATTTTTTAGCTTTATCGGTAAAACGATTATCTTGATCGGCACTTGTACCACGAAAAAATCCGGCATCAGTCATGATTTATTTTTTTATTTTTTGGTTTTTTCGTTCGTTGTCAAATTTTTAATGAAGTTTAATTTATTTATCAAATGAATTAGGTAATTACAATCATCATTATCATTAAGTTTCAGAATTCAATTTATAATTAAAACAAACCAAAACAAAAACGTGTCGAAAAATGTTAATTTAGTTAACAAATGAAATCAATTTATTTATTTTTTTTATATGGGCAAAACCAGTGCAAAAAAAAACAAAACAAAACAAAACACCAAACGACGGTGCTGGTTTCTCTTTTCGGCTTATTATTATTATTCCATTTTCCATTTTTTTTTTTTTTATTATTCGATTTGCTAATGCATGAAAAGCGAAAGTATTGTTATGATAAGCGATGGTCACAATTCAACTCAGATAGTGTAGTGGTAGTATTGATAATAGAATGTTATGTTCGGTACTAGAAGCATTGTAAATAATTAAGTTTGATGAAAAACGTATTGTATTGTGACCATTTTTTTGAACAAAAAAATTTTTTTTTTTGGATGTTCATAACAAACGTGTCGTGGTCAAAATTTCTGTTTCAGAATTATTATTCAAGAATTGGTTTCCGGATGATAATTTTTTTTTGAAATTAATTCATCTTATTTCATCCCAATCCAGTTATCCAAAAACTTTGTCATTTTTTCTGAGGTAAGATTTTTTCAAATTGATCGATATAAATTGTCAAAACTTTTTTTTTTGTATACCAGAATTACAAGCAAAAAAAATTGTAACGATGATGAAATCCGAATTATTTATTCTGTTTTTCAACAAAACAAAAAAAAAAGTTTTTCATTTTTTTTCAAAAAGAGAATTTTTCTCCCACTTTTATAAGTGACAGGTAATTTATCTTCTTCTCATCAACAACGGAAATTATTACTTTAAAAAAACTTTTTTTAAAAAAATTAAGATTCTCGAGACAAGCAACAAAAACATTTCAAATCGATAATCATTACAATCGAAAAGAATAATTTTACTTTTGTGTTTTTTTTTTGAAAGAAAAAATTCATCCATATAGAAAATATGAATACTGATTCTGTTTTTCATTATTCATTCATCATCGATAAATTTATCAATGATGACGATCCAATTATTATTATCATCGTCACCGCCATTCTTCAACTTCGATAAAGTATTATTATTATTATTCATATTGTGTTGTTATTCAGTTGTTGTTTGAATCGAAATCGATCGATATTGTTTCATTTTTTCTTCATCAAGTATTTAAAAAAAATCTATAAAAGACATATTATTTTCTTTAATAATAAACTCAATTATATTGTCTACAATACTGATGATCACCATTAACGACCAATGATGATGATAATGAAACAAACAAACATACTTTTAATAATAATGACAAAGTTGGCTAAAGCAAAAAAATGAAAATATTTCCCAGAATAATTCAATATTTCTGAGGTTGTCAATGGAAACCATCGATGATGATGATGAAGGCAACAACAACAACTATTCTTTGAAATATCGGAAACAACAACGAACAAAAAAACATTGTCATGGTGAATATATATGTTCTATATATAACTATCGTTTAATTTTATAATGGTTTCCTTTTCTTCTTTGGTTTTATAGTCGACAAAATTCATTATTAGGGGGGAAGATTCAAAATTGATCCATCCTCATCATTTAATTTAAACTTGAATGATGGATCAATTTCAAATGAACTTTTTTTTCATATATTTCGATAATGATGATGATGATGACGACCAAGATAATAATAGATCTATGATCGATCCATAATTTTACCCATTTTTCATTCGATCATAGTTACCGAAAACAACAAAAAAAAAGTAGAAAGTTTTGAAATACACAACTTATATTTAATGTTTAGTGGTTTTTTTTTCTTTGTTCCTTGTGAAAAGATTCCTGAACATTCTGGTATTCTTTTTTTTTTGTTCTTCGGGTTTCGATTGTCAATTCGAAACCCGAAAATAAAAAAAATAACGAGCATATTCCGAATATTCTACATATGTTATACATCTACACCTGCTTGACAAATGAAAGAAAAAACTACATACCTGTTCTGTCTACCTGTGTTCTATTTCATTGTATTGCAACCAAATTTATTGTTTTGTTGGTCTACAAAACTTACCTGAAATTTCATTTCATTTTCATTTTCATTCATTCGGGTGATATTCGAAGCTTAATTTTTTTGAGAATTTTTTTTTGTTGTTTTAGTTATACCCTTTCTTGGAATATACATTATAGTAGCTATACCCCCCGAAAACAAACAAACTGGATAATCCTCATTCTTGTTGGATTTATCATCATTATCATCATCGTTTATTTGAAAAAAATCCGTCTGTTTTTATTTCTATTCAAAAATTATAAATGGTTATTGTTCGGACAAGTGGACAATGACCTAATCCGATTGCTATATATCTTTCTCTCATTGTGTGTGTGTATGTGTTTGTCGCTATCGACCATCATTATTCATAATTTTTCATTGTCTAAAACGATTTTACCTTTAATTCTTTCATTTCACTTTCTCTTTGATTTTTTGCTTGTTATTTTCAGTGTGTTTTTTTTTTGAATTCGACTTTTGTGTTTTTTTTTCATTTGATTTTTTTTTATAAAAACTTTTTCAAATTATCATCAAATCATGGGACAAGTTGTTACTTGTTTTGGAACAAAATCCACTGGCGATGCAACTGCTAACATATTGACGACAACAACAACAAATGAAACAAAAACCAAAAAAGAAAAAAAAGTAAAAGAAAAAAAAGAAAAACCACCGAAAAAAGAACCAAAAGAAAAACCAGTGAAAGAAGGAAAATCTAAATCCAAAACTTCAAAAGATTCAAAAGATAATAATAAAGATGCAAATGGTAATGTTGTTGAACAAAAACAAACCGATTCAAAAGATTCAAAAACAACAACAAAATCATTGAATGGTAATAGTAAAAGTGGTTCAGCAAGTACGGCCAAAGTTCGTCCAATGACACCATCTCAAGGTAAATATTAATTTCTGAAGAAAAAAAAACATTAATTAATTAAATTTCAATTTATAGCAGCAGCATCAGAAAATATACCTAAACCAGTTGCATTTGAAATTACTGTTGATGAAAAGACAAAAAAATTGACCAATGTTGTTATCAATGATGGTGAATCGATTCGTGATAAAATTATTAAAGGTGTTGGATCATTAGTTGGTATGAATGGTGGTGGTGGAAATAGTGGTGCGAATAATGGTAATAATACACTTTCTAATGCCACTCAAACTAATGGAAATCAAACGGATGTGACAACAACAACAACAACAAACAACACTAACAACAATGATGATGAAACACCACTTGCATCAGATCCATCAAAATTACAGGCACGTTTTCCAAGACGTTTACCAAAATTAAGTTCATTAGGAAAATCATGGTCAACAAATCAAGAACAAAAAACTAATGAAGAAATTATACAAAAACAGAAAAAAGCTGAAGAAAAACGTAATGAAATACTTGAAGGTAAAAAAAAGAAAGCAAGAAAATTTGTTGAAAAATTTTCAACAAATAATAATAATAATAATAATAAAAATCAAGATGATGATCAAGAAAATGAGATTGATTCTAATGATCAACAACAATTACGACCACCATCATCATCATCATCATCGGCAGCAAAACCATCAGCACCACCATCATCGGCAACAAAATCGATTAGATCACGGCCACCATCAACGACAACAACATCATCATCATCAGCTTTACAGCAAACTTCCGGCGATATGAATGAAAATCCAGCCATTATTGTTGGTGATGAACAACAACAGCAGCCATCGACATCAACGGATACTGTTCAGGAAATATCCAACGAAGATGAAAATGATATTGGTGGTGATTCCGGTAATCAACAAATTCCAAAAGACGAGGTTGTCCAATCAACAAATGACGATTAAACATTTTACATATTTACAACAGCAACAACAACAAAATTCTTTATGTTCCTGGATCACACACAGCATAGATGTTTATACAAAACCGGAAAAACAACCAAAATTGGATTCTTAAATTATTATTAACCATATAATCACACAGATTCAAAATAATTAATTTGAAAAAAAATAAAAATTGTGAATCTATAATAATCTTTATTGATGAATAATTATTGAATTTATAAATGAAAATTATTTATTTATTATTAATCAAAAATTTAGATTTTTATTTCATTTGCGAGCGCGGTTTTTTTTTAAATTTGCCTATTTCGACAACAGCAAACAACAATCATTATATTGTCATCGTTTATTGACCCAAAACAAAANTAATAATAATAATAATAAAAATCAAGATGATGATCAAGAAAATGAGATTGATTCTAATGATCAACAACAATTACGACCACCATCATCATCATCATCATCGGCAGCAAAACCATCAGCACCACCATCATCGGCAACAAAATCGATTAGATCACGGCCACCATCAACGACAACAACATCATCATCATCAGCTTTACAGCAAACTTCCGGCGATATGAATGAAAATCCAACCATTATTGTTGGTGATGAACAACAACAACAACCATCAACATCAACGGATACTGTTCAGGAAATATCCAACGAAGATGAAAATGATAATGGTGGTGGTAGTTCCGGTGATCAACAAAGTCCAAAAGACGAGGTTGTCCAATCAACAGATGGCGAGTAAAAATTTTACATATTTACAACAACAACAACGACGAAATTCTTTATGTTCCTGGATCACACACAGCATAGATCAAAGCCGACAAAACCGAAATGTTCTTAAAACCAAAAAACAAACAAACTGGATTCTTAAATTATTATTAACCATATAATCACACAGATTCAATAATTAATTTGAAAACAAATAAAAAATATTGTGAATCTATAATAATCTTTATTGATGAATAATTATTGGATTTATAAATGAAAATTATTTATTCTTATGAAAATTTCTATTTATATTTCATTTGCGAGCGCGGTTTTTTTTTAAAAATTTGCCTATTTCGACAACAGCAAACAACAATCATTATATTGTCATCGTTTATTGACCCAAAACAAAAACAAAAAAAAATTGATAATCAAAATCAAATACAAATCAAATGATGATGATTGAATGAGATTTTCATAGTCATTTTATGAAATTTTGCTTGTAATTTTATTATTTATGATTGTTGTTCATCATTCATCCATTGTTCATCATGATGATGAATAAGATATTTTTCTTATTCGATCGCTACAAATGCGAATATAAAATCAAAAAATTTTGGATGATGAAAAGGTTTTTTTTTTGGCCGATTGGCTGTAACCATCATCATCATTGTAACAAACACACTAAGGGTCGATTAAAAAAATTTTTTAGCTTTGAACGACAAAACAAACTAACCAAAAAAAAAATCGATCTGAATTTTAAACTTTGACTTGGATTTTAAACAAACATATCACAAAAAAAATCTTGCTTATCATTCTCATCGTCATCAGATTATTGTTTTTTTTTCTTCTTTCAACAAGGCTTTTTTTTGTCCCCTCTTTATTTCAAGAATATGTTCATATCTGTTTTGAATTGAATGATGGAAATTCAGAATCATTTTCCATCATCAAATCATCCGGAATCAATATCATCGATTTGTTCACAATATTCACGAAATGATGATCATATTAAATCGGAATTTCAACAACTACAACAACAACCATTATCCGATGGATTAACAAATGATGATGATGATGATGATGGTAATTCATCAAGAACAATAATGATGAATAATCATCAAACTTTTATGCAGAAGAATTTACCATCATCATCATCATCATCGTCAATGTCGACGGCAACAACCACATCGAATCAAATGATGATGACATTTGATACAATTAATGGCAATTATATTCAACAAAAAATGATGCCAAACACTTCAAGTTGGTATGATATGTCATCATCATCATCATCGATTAAATCAATGACAATGATGATGACCGATGATGATCATCAACCAATAGTTAACCATTACGATAATAATAATAATAATAACATTGACGATCCATCACCACCACCACCACCACCAAAAATATCGCAACCTTCGTCATCAACGACAACATTCTATTCTCCAATTATTACAAATGATCAAAATAATCAACAACAAAAATCCAAATCTGCACTTAATGTTCATGGTATATTGAAAAGGAAATTATTGAAATTAAAATCATCATCAACAACAACAAAATCATCATTATCACCACAATTATCATCATCATTATCGTCTTCATTATTGTCTTCGTCGCCATCAACGACATCAACATCATTATGTTCTTCATCATCAACTGCAACATCATCATCATCATTAGAATCGCCATATAAACAATTAAAACGTAATTGTAAAAATGAAGGTATTAATCCACAATGTGTTATCTGCGGAGATTTTGCATCCGGACGTCATTATGGTGTATTTGCATGTGAAGGATGTAAAGGATTTTTTCGTCGTACCATATTGGCTACGATGTCATTGAAAGCAAATCAACAAAAATTATTGGATAGTGGCGCGGATATGGAAATTTATAAAGGATATCTAGATATTTATAAATGTAATAATTCAATTGTAAATCATAATCCTCAGAATAATGGTGATGGACAATCAATGACAACATTATCTGATCAACAGCAACCAAAACGATGTCCAATACTTGTTGAACAGAATCGTCGTCGTTGTTGTAAATCATGTCGTTTTAAAAAATGTATCGATGCCGGTATGAAATATGAACCATCAGCATTGGAACCAAAATTAAAACGGTTAGCAATTCTTTCACTTTTTTCTCGTTGAAATTCATGTTGATCCTTTTTTCTTTTTTGAATAGTTTGGATCCATTGGATATAATTTTCTATCCAGAAACATTAAATTTTCAACGACAATTATATCATTCATATGCAATGTTTATCGATACATTGATGTCACAATTTCGAATATTTTTACGATTAATCAATAATGTAAAAGATTATCCTTATTATTATCACCATCATCATGAACATGATAGACAGTCTTGTAATCCAAACGTAATGATTAGTATGCGTCAACGTTCAGCATTGATCATTATGGAATATCTGGCTATGTTAACTGATGAAATGCTTACAAAATTTATATCATATATGGATGATTTCCGTCAGATTCATATCAATAATCAGGCCGATCTTATTCATCGTTCAAAACATTGGCTTCTTTGTATGATATTGGCTGCTGTTTATCCTACAGCCGAAAAATCATTAAATTTTAATGGAATCATATTCGGTGAACAAACATTTCATAATAATCTTTGTGAATTATATCAGAAATTAAAAATTCTTGGCAATGTTTGTAGCGAGGACGATGATAAAAATGATGAGCAACAACAAGAACAACCACAACAACAACAACCGCAACAACAACAACCGCAACAATTAAATTCAACATCATTGACAATGACCAACACTGTGGATATTAAGACAACAACAACAACTGCAACGAATAATGAATGTCAATTCCTTGGACTATTATTATCCAATCAGAATTCATTTCAAAATATATGTCATCGTGCATTTCTTAAATCACGAAAATTTCAAAAATCGCATTTATCATCGCAACAGAATCAATCACCAAAATCATTCAATTCATTTGAATTTTATCATATTGATAATACTATTCCACAACAATCACCAATAATAATGATGATGGATGATAGAAAATGGTTATTATCATTGAAAGAAAAATATCGATTTTTACCATTATTGACAGCAATGTTATTGATTCGAAATTATGATTCAAAAACGATTACCAATTCATCCGTAAATTGTAGAACGAAACCGGCTGAAACAAATCGAACATCGAAAGAATTGTCAGCCATCGATCGTATTCGATATTTATTGATGACAATAATGCGAAATGAATATCAACTATTCGAACGTATTACTGGATATTCGAATAATATGGAAAATGTTTGTACAATATTTGCAATGCCAAACAACAACAACAACAATAAAACCATTGGTAATGTTGTTCCGAATTTAATCGGTATGGAAAATTATCCGATCAATCAAAATACTATCAATAGTTTTGATGTTTTCAATCGTTTTACATTATCAAGATTGGCTAATAATTTTGAAGATGTAACAAGAATTATTGGTCATTTAGTATCGATTGTACGGTTAAAATTTTCAATTTTAATCTAATCAAACCGCCATACACTCACTCACTAACATAAATATTGCATGTGTAGTTTATTTTTCCGTTGTTGTTGTTTAATTAATTAATTAATTGTTCCATTTTTTATATATTAAAAATTACAATTATTATTACAATGATGATGATTTAACGTTCACCTGTACGATGATTAACATAATTTGAATATTCTGCTTCACGTAATAGTACAACATTTCCAGAAATTTTACGTTTTAAATATTGTATACAATGTGGATGTAATTGTGTTATCTGATTGATTGACCAATCGGACATTCCTAATCGGCAAAGATTTTCAGCATAATCCATTTTAGCTTGCCAATATGGATATGGTTTTTTTGAATGTCGTGCTTTCCATGAACGTATCTAAAATTTTTTCAATTTTACAAAGAAAAATAAACAATTTTTTTAGAAAATCAATCAATTTTATTAGCAAACATAATTAATTTCGAACAATATTTATTCATATTAGCCATTTTTTTACAATTGACAAAGACAAAAACGAAATTAAAACGATGACATCAATATATTAGTAAACATACTTGATAATCATGCCATGATATACGTTTTGGATCATGTCTTGTTGATGTTTGATAACGAATATCACGTTTTTTAAATTCAGCATGTTCCAAATAGCCACAAAAACCAATTTTACTTTTCAAACGTAACTGTTGATATTGATGTGAAACACCAACAGTTCCCAACGAAATCATTCCTTGCCAAATACGACAATTTGTATTTGTTTGTTTGATTGCCGTATGAACCATACGTTGTAATGATGCTAGAACCATGTTTATATAATTCAATTTTTTTCAGAATTATTCAAAAATCTTTAGCCAAATTTTCCACCAAAAACCGAATTCCGAATGATGATAATTTTCATATGAAAACAACATTCATATTGAAAAACACACACAAACACACATTGACCTCGATCAATTCATAAACAATGTATCATGGCGTTTTAGTTTGAATTCGAATCAATAGATGGCCAAAACAGTAATCGAATCGAATCTTTGATGATATTCAACAAGTTTCGATATCGCCAAAAACAATTTGAAATTGATTGATTGATTTGAAAAACTGTTTTTTTTTGTAAATTGAAATTTTGCAAACGAAAAAACAGCAGCAGCAGCAGCCGCAATAAAATACAACTTATTCGGTCGACAGCAATAAATAATAATGAAAAAAAACAAACATTATTCGATGATCGATGGCTATTGTTTTTACGTTTTTCTTTTTCGTTTTTTTCACAAGAATTGAAAATTTATTGAAGAAACGAGCAAGGCGTCATATTATATCTATGGTGATAAAAATATTTCACAATATTTTTTACATGCCCCCGTGTTAATGATTGATTTATTCATTCGATTTGAATAAATCAATTAAAAATGCCATTGTCATTATCTATCTTTTTTCTTCTGTGTTTGTGTAAATAAAGCCATCAAACAAAAACACAGGTAGGAAATCCATTGATGAAAACAAATGAAAATGATAATAATAAAAAAAAACATTTTTTTTCCTCGTTCCTCTAGTTTTTTCTTCCAATAGATGAAAAAAATGCACTGTCCTTGATTGATTGATTGATTGATTGATTGGTCGACCATCAATCAATCATTTTCCATAATCGATCAATATTTATTCGATGATTGATTACACGATTTGTTAATTAACCATGTGAATATTCTCTTTTATTATTATTATTATTGAAATGGATTACAAGCAAAAAAACAACAAATAATTTTAAAATGCAAAAAATTTACAAAAAGAATGATCCATCATTATCGTGTTGAAGATGACAAAAACTTTTCAATTTTGTATTTTTGAACAAAAAAAAGAAAAAAGAAATTTCATCATCATCATTAACATGCATGGTTTGTTTGTTTATTATGATTATTATGTTAAATATTCATTCCATTATTTGTTGTTGCCAGTTATTTCCTGATGATGGAAAAACAATTGTGAAATTTTTTTTTAAAATTCAAATCAATAATAACATTAATCAACTATCAACCTAAAATTATCAATACTAAAGCTACTATTATCATCATCATCATCCGTTTGCCAAATTTAGCACATCATATTTTTCAACCTTGAAATTTTTCTATTTCGACAAACATTGAAAAAAAATGTTGTTGATGATGATGATGGTTCGATGATTTTCACGGTGGGATATATATATTCAAAAACATCGACCTTGTTGTTGTTGTTGTAGTTGATGATTTCAATCTGATGTCACCAGAATTTTCGACCAAACAGTGCAAAAAAACCCGTTTTAAAGTCATATTTTATCGCGAATTATTGCCAAAAAAAAAACGAAAATATTGATGAAAAATATCATTCGGTCATTGTCCATGAATTTCATTTTGTTACTGTAATAAGCAAGCAATCGGACGATAATCAGAATGATTTGAAGTATTGTTCGATACATCCAAAATGGCAATGATGATGATGATGATGATGGTTGAGAAATATCATCGTTTGTTTTTCATTCAGAAGAATCAATTGATGGAAAAACCTGGCCATCATAATCATCAATAATAATAATAATGATGATCAATCTTCAATCAGAAAGAATGAAAAAATTTTGCATTGATTATAAATTGAATTTGAAAAAGTAAAAAAAAGAAAAAAAATTAATTACATCAAAAAAAAAATTGAAAAAGTAAATAAATTTCATGTTCATCATCATCATCGTCAATGACATTATGGTCATTTCAAATGACATCATTTTCTTCAAAAACATTCTAATCATTCGATAACATCTTACCAGTGATTATTTGGAATTGATTTGATCAATCTATAGAAATAATTGGAAAGAAAACAAGAAAACGATTCTCCCCTTTTTGATTATCAAAGAAAAAGAATCATAATTTACTTATCTTTTGATGGTTGTTTATGATGATTTTTTTTTCATGGAGCTTTTTTGGCCATTTGCAGACGGACGAAAATCCCACCGACCACTTAAATGAATTATTTTTTTCAATTTTTTTTTTTTTTGGTCTTTGGTTGGGTCGACAAAAAATCGAAGCATGTTCCAGGTTGTTTACACACATTCACTTTATGTTCATTTAGTGAAAAACAAAAAGTGATGTTTCAACATACAAAACAAGAACAAGCTAAACAATTTTCACGTTCAACCTGACCGGTAGGATGTTTGTCCGTAGGCACATGACCGGTTTTTGTTTGTTTGTTTGTTTTTTGTATTCAAATTGATTCTGTAATGGAAAAAAAACAAAAATTGAAGGTAAAAAGAATTTCCCAACTTACCCAAGTTACAAACAAGCAAATATTGATTGATCGATTGATTGATGAATTTGTTGTTTGATCGGAAAACAAACTTTGGATTTCATATTGATTTTCAACAAACAAATCATTCAAACTTTTGTTTGTCTCTCGTTTGTTATTCAATCATTCACATTATTTTTTATCCGGTACTTAAAAACTGAAAATGATAGTCGTGTTGAAACTTGATGATAACTCTCAGTTCTCTTCATCATCACCACCACCACCACCAACATCAACAATATCATCATCATCATCATCACACCAACCAATCAAAATTAATATGATGAACATTCATTCATTCAATCGAACCGAATCAATCGATTGATTGATCGATCGAACAGAAAAAAAACATTGAGAAAATAAAAGAAAATTGAAAGAGAAAAAGATGAAGAAGAAGGAAAATCTATCGAATATTTACCAACCAACAAAAAAAAACAAACAACTAAATACACATATACAACACATCTGTGTGTTTTTAGGAGAAGGGGAAGGCGAAAAAAAAGGACAATTTTTTTTTTGTTTCTTCATTTTCATCGTTGTTGATTGATTGTTGTTGTTGTTGGTGGTGGTGGTGAATATCGTCGACAGATTGATTTGGCGACAAATATTTGTATCTACCGTGAAACGAAAAAAAACTATTCAGTGATGAAGAGAGAGAGAAAAAAAAACAAATCATCATTGGAGAAGAAATGAGATGCCGAATACTTTATACAATTGGTTTGGCTGGTTGGTTTGGTTTGGTTGGTTAAAATAGACTTTGTTCACAATGATCATCAACATCATTTCAATTACATTGATTTTGATTATTCAATTAGCCCGAGACAAGAAGAAAAAAAAACACTGAGAGAAAAATGTGTGTGTGATTCGATGATCATCGTTGAAGAGAGAAAGCAAGAGAGAGAAATCTAGATATACATTTTCTGTCCAAAAAAAACAAGACATCCAAATGTGAAAAAAATGTCTTTGTAAAAAAATAATGTAAAAGTATTGATTGATTTATGATGATGATAATGGGAGGAGTGAACAAGATTGGTGGGTGTTTTCGATGATGATGAGGATCATGATGATTTGATCAATCAAAAAATTCAAATGATGAATGGATGTTTGTACAGATGATTTTTTTTGAATCATTAATTAATAGGATAAGGATAGTGATATGGTTATCATCAGAATGAATGAATCTGGATTCTTGTTAATTTAACGTTATCTCGATTTCGTTGAATGTTGATTTAATCTTCATCGAAACAGAACAAGTTTTTTTTTTGTGAGACAAAGAGCAAAAGAAGAAGAAGAAGAAAATAAAAACAAAAATTGCATAACATTATTGTTGAATTTCAACTGAATACTGATTGATTTCTAAAGGGTTGAATTTTGATTTTTTGGTGATGGAAGGTGATCATAAACAACAAACAAGAAAAAAATCAGAACAGAATTCACAGGAATAACGATGATTTTTTGGATTTTCTTCTTCTTCTTCCATTCGTGTTAATGATGAAATTGAAATGACGACAATAACAACGAAATGAAGATTTCAATTTTTTCATCATCATTATTATCATTAATATTTTGACATCATCACATCCATTTTGTATAGATGTTTGTCCAGCAGTTAAACAAAAATTTATGAAAAACAACAACAACAAAAAAGAGAGAAATCGATAAAATAACCAAAAAAAAAAGCTGAGAGAAATGATACTACCGCTACGCCATATTTTTCATTTTTCACTGTTCACAATTGATCATCCTGAACATCATCGAATGTATGTGGATTCATATAATTGAAAAGATAATATTGGTAAGAAGAAGACAGAAGATAAAGTGAAAGTGAAAGTAAAAGAGGGCCGGGTATAAATGAATTTTTTTTTCTTCTTCAGTTTTAGTTTCGATTTTGAAATAAAATATCTTCAACACACACACACACACACACACACACAGGCATCAAAGAAATGCAAAAAAAAATTGAAAAAAATTGAAAAAACCACTTGTTGATAACGACATTGGTTGATTGGGATGGATGATTGAAGAAAGTGATGTTTTTTTTTCAAATTTGTTGTTGTTGTTTTTGTTGAAATTCTGAATTGAATTCAAAAAAAAATTGAAGAATTTCTTAATATAAGAATTCGACATGTTTAAGAATGTGAAGAATTTTGAAAATCCGACATGATATTCAGCTGATGATTTGTTGGATTTGAAAGTTTTTTTTTGTTCAAAGAAGAAAAACCGATGGAATTTCTTGTCTTTTTTTTCTGGTAGATCTGGTCACACACTCTTCAAACACAAGGCGACATAATCAAATCAAATAGAAAAACGGAAAAATGGTTGGGCTTCACATTATCAGCAGCCGCAGCAGCAATTAAATTAACCATTTTCCTTCGACGTCACAAACACACAAACATTTACCATTACATTCTTCATACATCATCAAAATCATCATCGTGAAAAATAAAATGTTTTTTTTGATGAGGGAAAAATCATTTTTTTTTTAGATAACATCATCCACACTAATTTATCCATTGCTGTGGTATAACAGTAGTTTTTTCGTATATAAATCATCCACCCTCACCTAATAATTAAACAGACAGAAAAACATTCCAACAATGAAAACAAGGTAAAGGTAAATAATAAAAAAAAACGTTTTACAACCATCACCAAAAACCAAATAAAAAAAAATCTCCATTAAACAGCCACCACTACAACAAGAACTTGTTGCTATTTGATGATTAGAAAATAAAAAACAAGCCAGGATGTTGTCAATACGTCAAAAATTGCTTTGACGATGATGATGATTGTGATGATGAATAATTTTTTTTGTTGTTGAAAAAAAATGAATATTAAATGGGATAAAAGTACCGGTTGACAAACACAAGCAGACAGAGACAGAGTGATATTAGTTAAAATAGTTATCAAATATCGTTCGTTTAGATAACCAAACATACCATATATATTGAATGTGAAAAAATAAAGCCTAAACATTAACAACAGCAAAAAGCTAAACATGTTTGAATTGTAATGGAATTGAAATAGGTTTGGTTTGGTTGGATGACACAATCCTTGGACTACATATATTTAGATAAATTTGATTTTTTAAAAATACCTTTTTTGTTTTTGGTTTTGTTGAAGGAAGTAAGAAGCGAAAAACGAAAAAATCTAATGTGGAATCAAATGAGGGAAAAAACAACAACAGCTAAAAAACAAGAAGTGAAAAGAAGAAGATATCGATGTTTAAATCAATCGATCGATCGATGATTTTCGAAAGATTTTTTTGTTTTTGTTTTCGGTACAAAATTCTCAGACTTTAGACAATTTCTGTCTGTTCGTTTTTTTTAACTGGATGTTAATAATCATTTCGATCAAAAATGGTCATAGTTTTTTTTCTCCTATTTGAACAGCAACAACGAAGCAAAACATCATAACATCGCAACTGCAATAATAATTGTTTACGAAATGACAACGAAAAAAACAAAACAAAACAATTTTGGGTGATTTTAATTCAAACCGAAAAAAAAACAAAATCATTGGGTGTTGGCACCGAATATCATTTTTTTCTGGAAACAATATCATCATAAATATCGATATATAATCGATTGTTTGTTTGATATGGATGGACGAAACTATCGATTAATTGATTGATAAATTATAATAATGATAATGATGATTATCATCATCATTATCACATAATCAATCAATATTTTAACTTGATAAAAAAATAAAATATCCATATATCATATATGCAGAAAACACAAAATCAAAAATCAATGTTTTATCTGTTGATTATGGGTGTTTTTCATTATTCATTTTCGTGTTTTTCGTAAAAAAAAATATTTTTTCCTTATCTTTTTTTTTCGCACACAAAATTCAAATTCAAAAAAAAACAGCAGAAAAAAACAACAACAAATTCGGAATGCAAACAACAACGAACAAAAACGTTGATGATTATTCATGGAAAAAGTATCATCATCCATTGATGATGATGATAATGATGTTCTCGTGCATGTGCTATATTCAGTCAGTCAGGCCAGGCAAGCGAAATTGGCCAACATTCCCAGATGATGATAATGATGAATTATCATAATGTCATTTGAAAACACAAAACAAAAAAAAAGTTTCGGAAAACAAAAAAATCATTATTAATTGTCAATATGGTAATTAATGATGATGATTTTCTTCTCGATGATGTTATTCTGGTTAATTGTTCAACAGCAACGAAAAAACGAAAAAATCTTTTTTGACCATTTTTTTGATGATTATTCGTTTTATCGGTCAGTTTTTTTCCTTGTTCGGATGCGGATGATAATGCTAAACGTGTCTCATCATATATTCCAAATATGCGTGACCAACAGAAAAAAAATGATTTTTCTGTTCATTTGAATGACCATTGCAATTGTGTACAGTTAGCTAGTTTGTTTGTTTTGCTTGTTTGAAAAGATAAAATTCAATTTCAATTACAATTTAAATGATGATTTTTATCATTCAAATTGAAAAGAATTTCAAAAAACATTTTCTAAACTTTATTAAAAAATTTTTCATTTTTCATTTTTTTCTGATTGAATTTGGAAACCAATCAATCAATCAATCAGGTATAATAAAAAAAAAAATTTTCTGAATTTTTCTGATGAAATTTTTATGACAAATTTTGTTTGTTTGTTTAAAAGTGAAATGAAAAAATTCAAGGTTCCAAATCGATGATGATGGCGGTCATCATTTTTTGATTGAAATTTTTTTTCCTCCTAATTTAGGTCAATTATTCGATTGAAAGCCAGAAGCCAAACAGAAAACAAAACATTCGAATCAATCATAACACGTGAATTGTATTTTGATCGATCACAATCTCTTGATTGATTAATTGATTGATTGATTGATTGAATAAAAACAAGAACTAATTAAATTCACATTTCACAATTAAACATGAATTAACCCCGGTTATAATTTGCAAATTCAATTGCGGTTTTTTTACGCCTCATTTTCGTTGTTGTAAACATTAAACAAACAAACAATCTTTTCCATTTTCACAAATCAGATTGAAAATTTGAATTGAAAATGGAAAAACTTTAAATTTTTTTTTCTCCCCTCCGACCAAAACGACGTAAACGAGGAAAATCTTTTGGGAAACACAAAAAAGTGATTTTCTGATATGGTGTTTGCGTGTTTGTTTGTTTGTCGGATCGACAATCGATTGGGATGGGCGTACAATCGATCATTCAATGACGATGATGATGATGATGATAGTTTCTGTTTGTTTTTGCAAAAAAATTTCATTTTGCATATTTTCAAAATTCTAAATTGGTTTCTTCTCTATCTATCTTTTGCTTAAACAATTAGCTAATTCGATTGATTGACGAGGATTTTCCCCATGTGTAGAACAAAAAAAAATTGTTCAATAATGAATATCGATTTCAATATGTTGAAAAACCATGGAAATAAATAAAGTTTCCCCTTCGACAACATTAACATTTTTTTTCTTCGACAAAACTTTTTTTCTGACCTCGATGTCGTATCTGATGATTATACCTATGTGGCTAACCGCTAATGATAATGATAATGATGATGATGATGATGATGATGATGATGAATGAAACAGATTTCAAAAAAAATATGAAAATTTTAAACGTTTGGTCCATTTTTTCTTCGCATTCAAATTATCATGATGAAAGCAACAAGTGGATTTACAAATCGTAAATTCCATATCCGTTTGGCCTAATTTCAATGATAAAAATTTTTTCGTTTTCAAAAATCAAAAATCCAAAATATCAATATATTCATTCATACAGTTATGACCTTTTTTTTTATAACTGACTAACTGACTGAAGTGTTAATTTATTGATGATTTAATTAATCGATCGATCGATCGATCAATCGACATGTTTGCTCATTTCCATTTCAATTCGATAATTATCATCACTGCAAAGATAAACAAAATTCTTTCTTGTTTTTCTTTTTTCTTCTCGTTAAAACAAACATATGGAAAAATTCCTTGTTAATCATGATTATGAACAGAAACTATTTTTTTTTTTAAAAAAAGGTAATGAAATTCGAGTATGATAAATGATGATGATGATGACAACGTTTGAATAAAAAAAACATTCGAACCTTGTGTTTTTTCTTTTTTTTTGATGACATTCGACAAACTTCTTTTTTTTTGCTGTATTTTTTTGGTTGAACGAATTGAAATGATAATGAATTATGTATGAACATCAATTTCTTGGCAATTGAACACCTTGAAGGAATGTGTATTTGTATACAAAATAAAAGTGTGTTAATTTTTTTTTTCTCAACCACAACACTGTTTTATCGATTGATAATTTCATCGATTTTGCTATTGATCAGCAAACATTAGAAGAAGAAAAAAAATGGTGGGGAAACAAAATTCAAATTATTATTAAAACACAGTGTATGCTGCCATCTGTTGACTTTGAATTTATTCATTCATTTTTTTTGAAATTTTAATGAATTATGAAATGGTAATGAAATAGTCATCGAAATGGATTTTGTATTGTTTTTTATTAGTTTAATTTTTTTTTGTTTGTTTAAAAGGTTTGTATACAATGTGTGTTTTTAAATATTATCGTCACAACAATTTGAAAATGTTAAAAAAATCATTAATGTATGAATAAATTAATATATATGGTCAGCATTGTTATGTACGTTGATTATCACCGTTCAAAGTGTTAAAAATTTCCGTTCGAATTGCTAAATTATAAAAATAAGAATTTAAAAAAAAATTATAACTATGAAAATGATTTTTTTTTTTTTTGCAAAATATCTACCATTAAGTAAATCCTGTTTAAATTGTATTAATTCTTGTCGAAATTCTTGCATTATTTCCTCTTTAAGCCGATCACTTGATGATGATCCAATAGGATTTGAAACCGTATTTTGAACAGTCAATGATGGAGGTAATGGGGGTGGCGCCGGTGATTGTGCACGAGAATGATGGCCATTTGTACGAACGCCATTGGCAATATTGATCAATGATTGGGAATTCATTCTTAGATTAGTATTCAATGTTGAACTTTTGCCATTTTGACGACCATTAACATTATCATTTTGATTAGGCACAGATGAACCATTACTATGTAAATTAAATTTTTTTCAGAGATAAATATGAACAAACAAACAAAAAACAAGTGTTTTTTTTACCTGATTGAATTCAATCGACGTATAGTCGAATTGATTGGATTATAACATTTGACCGGCGATGTTGCTTTAGGCTGTTGATCGACAGGCAAATCACTAGATTTAGTACCATTATCTACATTTGATTGTTCATTTTCTTCAATTTTTGCTCGTCGTTTAGCTAATTTTTGTGCCATTTCACCAAAAAGATTTGTTGATGGAGGTCGATTATTATTGTTGGTATTATTGTTGTTACATAGATTACTTAGATTTGGATTTGATTGTGTCATTTTACTGTGATAAAATGGCGGAACCGTATTATTCATACTATTTGACAATGATTCCGGTTTAGCTAAAAAATTGTCAATATTATTATATCGTAATAAGAATTCATTAAAACCAAAACAAACATACCGGATATCTTTGGCTTTGGTGGAATTTTTAGATGAGGTGGAACAAGCGGTGGTAATGGCGGTGGTGGCGGCGGAATAACTGTTGGAGATAATGTTTGATTAGAATTTGGCCCAACTGATACGTATGTAGGTGTTTGATTCTTGATCATTAATGATGTATCATTCATTGTCCTATTGTTATTATTGTCTATGTTGCCAAAAAAAAAATTAACAACGACGTAATAAACAAAATGATTTAGAAAAAGGATTTTGAAAATTGAGTCAATCAAATGAAACGTGATAACTTACATTGGTTAATTTCGATAAAATTAACATTATTGCCATTGCTGATATTGTTTGTTGTAGATGATGTCGATGATGATGATGATGATGATAATGAAGATGAACAAGATGATGATATTGACAATGGTGGATGTTGTTGTTGTTGTTGTTGATAATTATGAAAACAATTCTCTCCATTTTCAATATTCTTTCGTGTTAATGTTGAATGTTTTGATAATTCAATAACGGATGTTTGATTATTTGATTCGTTGAAAGTTTGTTGAAATTGTTCTTGTTGTTGTTGTTCAATTTCATCAATATCACCACCACCATCAACAATTTTGTTGGCCATAATTAAAGAATTTGTTGATGATGTTAATCTAGCAATTTTTTCGGATGAATCAACAATCTTATCGATAGTTTCACCAAATAACTGTGCATCATTCATATTGATAAATTTTACTCCATAAACTTTATCATCAATGATGTCTCTCCATTGATGAAATGTTGTTGTTGCTTTATTATAACAGAATGATTCATTGATAGAACAATTTGCAACAACCTGTACATGTAAACAAAACCAACAACAAAAATAAAAAAAAAGTTAAGATAATATTACAAAATACATTTGGTAATAGATAGATAGATAAATAAATAAATAAAGACAAACAAACAATCATAAAACAAATAGAATGAATGACGGAAATGTGGCTAAATAAGATCAAACAAGTGTTAAAAATCAACAACCACACCACGAAAAAATCTATCCCAAAAAAACAAAAATCCCAATAAAGAAAAACAACTCAATTCAAAAGACATATATAATATGCATTTAAATATAACCATATAAAGGTTTTTTGTTTCTAAAACAAAACAAAAAAAGAAAAGAAAAGATACTTACATCATAATTATCTAATTTCCTTCCGACAATACGAAATGTATTTGCTTCACTATCATGATAAATACCGATACGTGATTGTCCTATTATGATCCATTTTTCATTAATATAATGATGCATTAGGCCATTTATAATGACTAGACTGAATTCTGTTTGGCTTCTGTTTTTTCAAATGAAAAAAAAATATCAAACAAACCGAAACAAAAACATTAAATTAAAATAAATCAATATAAAAATAGTAATAACCTTTTGATTACCTCATTGTATTACGATGTTTTCTGCTGCTGTTGTCAACAATAACAATTTCTGATAATGATGATTTTGATTGATCATCAATTAGATTTTCATTACTTATAATTAGATTATTCTGTTGTTGTTGGCCATTAATATCATCATTGACAACATTATTATTATTATTATTCTGATTATTAACAAACCACCACCAAAATTCAGCAAATTGACAGATTAAAATAATCAATACAATGACAATGATTGAAATTATCAAAATTGTTAATAAAAAACCCAATAATTGCTGTTCTTGTAATTCTTGTTGTTTTTGTTGTTCATATGATGATGGTAAAGGTGACTCGTTGTTGGTGGTGGTGGCTGTTGTATAAAAATGCTTTCGTTGTTGGTTATTCGTTGTCGTTGTTAATTGTAATTAGCAACAAACAAAATAAAAAATCACATCATTTTTATCGAATAACATTTATAATGGTTTACATCGAAAAAAAAAACTGAATTTGTTGATATTATCTTTTTGAATGAATGAATGTTGTTGTTGTTGTCGATAGCGATAAAATGATTGAAAATGTCATCAGTATAGAGAGAAAAAAACAGAAGAAACAGAAACATTCAACACACATATCAATCGAAAAAAAGATGAATAATCAAGGAATGTTGATTATCGATTGACAAGGTCGAACAATGTTTGAAAAGAATGTTTCAAACAGAAGAAAAAAAATGTTTGTTTGTTTTTTTCGTTGTTTAGCATCCAATCATCATCACCATCATCAAAAATCATATCTAAGGGTCATTTATATGGGGGATATAATGTTTGTTCAATGATTTGATAATGATGTCGAACAACAACCACCAACAACAACAATCATCATCATTGACAATTTTTTTTTAAATAATTTTCTGGGCGACCAAATTAGTTGAGAACCGAGAGAAGAAAAAAAATATAGACATTTTAAGCATTTTAAAAAAATGGGAACCAAAATAAATATCATAGATACATCACAATTACCAATACGCACCAGAGAAATGCAAAATATATATCACCAATATGTTGTTGTTGTTGGTGGTGGTGGATAATGATGATAATTTATATATTTTAACAGGAAAAAAAATAGTTTCTCATCATACGTGCTTGATCAGAGATTTTTTTTATTTTCAAATGTTTATTGTCGCCAATGATGATGATAATGGGTGGCTGTGATGGATTTTTTTTTTTTTTTTTTTCTCTGGTTGCAACCACAGATCTTATGAATGAAGGGTGTGTGGGGGGGGGAAAAAAACAGATTNTTTTCAAATGTTTATTGTCGCCAATGATGATGATAATGGGTGGCTGTGATGGATTTTTTTTTTTTTTTTTGTTTCTCTGGTTGCAACCACAGATCTTATGAATGAAGTGTGTGTGTGTGCGGGAAACAAACAGATTTGGATATGGAGGTTTTTTACACAATTTTGTTTGGTTGTTTTAGCCGGATAAAACGACTTGAATGAATTTGAATGAATTCAAAATTCAAATTTTTCATTAGTTTTTGTTTTGAAAGTGATGAATATGATTTTTTGTTGGCAATTTGACAACAAACATAATCATCAGGATTATAATGATATTCTTGATGAAACAAAACAAATGTCAGAATTTTGCCAAAAAAAAATCTAACAGAACCGCGATACACACACAGAAGATGATAATGATGTGAATTCTTCTTTTCGCTGATTGTCGAGGTTAAATTGTTCAATGGAAGAAGTTCAAAGTAAAAAAAATTTCATGGTGTTTACATGGCCAAGAACCAGATATTTATTCAAGCAGAATTAACATTTGAAAAGAAAGAATACGAATGAATTCTGGCGGATTCTGTAAGAAAAACAAAAAAAAAATAAATAAATTGTAAACAAATATCATTGATTGATTATCGATCGATACAAATCATTGACTTTAATCCTTAATACAGGCAAAACGTATTGTATTGTTATATTGACCTGTAAAAGGCAACAATTTTCTTTTTTGGAAATGAAATTAAAGTCAATTTTCCAAAAACACACACCGTAACTACCGGCTTTCATGAAATAAGATTGAAAGAAAGAAAAAGAAAAAAAATATCTACCTTTTTTTGCAACTTAATCAAACATATTAGACTTAATAAGGGAATTTTGTTATTAATTTTTCTTTTCTTTTTTCTATAGAAAAGAAAAAAGGTGTTATTACGAAATTAACAAGAAAAATGTCTGTTTCTGGAACAAAAAAAAACATTCATTCATTCAATACTGATATGGATGCCGGAACAACAGTTGAAAAAAAGAGAGAAAAATAGTTTTGAAAAAATCTCAAACATTTAAAATGCAAAATAAACACACGCAAACACAACAGGTAAAATTGAATTCGAACGATTGAAAAATAAGTAATGAAAATGTAATGTTTGGAAGCCCGAAGACGTTCGATTTGGATTTTCCTTTTCGGTTTTTGTTTTTTAATTTTTGCTCTCATTTGCTATGAAATTATAATTTTTTTTTAATTTTAATGAAATGATTTCATTCATCTATAATGAACGAAAACAATGTGAAAACAAGAGTAAAACAAAAAGAAATTTCACGGAGGTGTCTTTACAAATGATTTCACGAACTTTTTTTTGATGGAACATTGCCATTGGCTTCAAGCCATCGATAGTTTCGAAGAATGATGGATATGAAACGATCACACACACACAAATATGAACATCAACGTTGATTGTGGGCAGCCAAGTAAGTAAGACGTTAAATATAAATTATTATGAAATTTTCTTCTTTTTTTTCCGATTAGGATGAATAGATGTCATGTGTCATGTATGTAATGAATATTGTTGTTGATGATGATGATCATCATTTTCTCGTTTGTTTGTTTGATTTTGATGACCAAATAAGGCGATTAGCGAAACTGAAAAAAACAAAACTTAAATAAAGATCTTCATGGTAAAATTTGATGGATCAATCAATCAATCAATCAATCAATCGATCAATTATGTCTAACGATTTTGCAATTTTATCAAGGATGATGATCGACAATTTCGATTAATTGCAACAATATTGTGACAAATTTCACTTAATTTTGTTGAAGAAAAAAAAATTCAAATTGCAATCATGTTATTGCAATAACCATTTTAATTGTGATAACTTGTTGATCAAATGAATCATTTATTCATCAAGTTTTTTGTTCAGAAATTATAATTTCCAAATTTATCAATTGTAAATGACTGATTCATCCATCCATCCATCGATTACAAGAATGATTATGGCAATGATTATGGTAAGTTTTTATTCAAACAATCATCGTTTTGTATTATATAATTCAAACAAATTTGTATCCATATGGCTGGTGTATATTCAACCAAAAACAAAAAAAAACATTCTATAAATAAACCATCAGCAATTTCGTTCACTTCACAATTAACACACAAATTACTTGACCTAAACATTTTTGCTTCGAAATCATTTATAGAATTAATGATATAAATATTTACATTTAAAATGCTATTCTATGCAGAATTAGTTTTGTTTATCAATTTTTTCAATTTTCCAGCCTGGTCTGTGTTTAGCTTAACATCATCATCATCATCTGTCAATCATTTTCAAATGAAATGTTTCAAACAAAAAAAAAATTAGAACAAACTTTCGAGCAATTGTTTAATATTAAAAAAAATCATAACAAAATTTGTTTACAACAAATGGGAAAATATGGTGTTTTTTCATTTATTCATTCATTGTTAGTTGGTGCAACAAAATAATCCGTTAATCGATCTTCAATCTGGCTCATCAATGCACGAAGATCATTTTGCAAACCTATAGATGATTATGATTTTGGAATATAAATATGAAAAGAATAATAATAAGCTAAATATAAAGGATAATATTTACAAATAATACGATTTCGAGCCGTTCGAATCAGATTAATATCGATATCATTTCGGGGAAAACCTTCACTGTCGACTAATGATTCGGTCATACCAACACCTTGCTTTAAACATTAACAAAAACAGAATTAGTTTGCTGAAAAAAACCCTTTATTGATTACCGATTGTAAAATGGCCATAAAATCTTTGATTTCATTTTCTAATTGATTACGTTTTCGATTCAATTCTAATGCTTCATTACGAACTTCGACACGTGTTTTTTGATGACCATTTTGATGTTCATCACCTCTATCATGTTGTTGTTGTTGTTGTTGATCACAATTGGAAGACATTTTTTTTCCTGCAACAAAAAAGATGCTTTAATTTTTGTTATTTATTTATGAGTAAAAAGCGCGATTCATTGAATGATGACGCAATTTTTTTTTTGTTTATGATTTACGAAAAAGAATTTTCAACAACAGTCAGATGGCGCAACAATCAAAAATTTATTCTATATATTTTATTTCATCATTTATTCAATAGATTCTTATTTAATTCACTCAATCAAATTACAAAATGAAATGAAAATCAATTTTTATAACCAGGATTAATAATTCCATTATTAATTTGAAGATTTCTTCTTTGCAATCGTCGTTGTGATAGAATTTGATCCAAATCTGGATTGATCCAAATATTTGCCAACATTATTATTATGGTAAATACGAAACCGAAAAAATTGATACGATTAAAAAATAATGATAGATCAGCATCGATAAATATGATCAAAAATATAATTGAACCAAATGTTATTGAAAGTGAATAATTTTCCAAATAAACACTGATTATACCAATCAAAAGTATCAATATGGTTACAATAGTGAATAGAATCAATGAAATACGAATTGTTTCCTATATGGAGTGCAAAAAAACGACATCAACAGAAATTCAATCAAACAAAAACAAATCTTACAGTATTGCCATGATCAATGGTCAATTTATCAATCCAATAATATGATGATGTTGATGTTGATTGTAATTCCAATGCGGTAAATACAATACATAAAATAATTCGTGCAATACATAACAAACATAATGTCCATTTTTTACAATGAAAAATTGATGATATTTCAGCCATGATGATTTCATCCAAAGATTTGTAGATTTTTCGCTAAAACTTTTGTATTTTTAGGGTTTCAAATAACAATGATTTCAGATTGATAGTTTTTTTTCTAATTTCTATCATTTTTTTTTTTGGATGAAATTTTATGATCCTCTTTATCATTATTAAATTATATGTTACGTCGTTGTCGTCGTCGTTATGGATCCATATAAATTAACCGATTGAACTTTGTTCCAGAAAAAAAGTATACTTTCTTTCATCATCTCACCCTCCCCTAATGATTTTTGGAATATTTTTTCGTCATCCTGGCCATAGATTTCAGTTTGATAATCCAGTTTCTTCGATGATCCATTATTGATCCATTCTAATACAAATTCGGATGCAAAAATTATTTGAAAACCTTAAAAAATCAAACAGAAATTGTTGTTTTTTTTCTTCTTCTTCCATATTTGTTCTTGTTTATGTCTGTTTGTGTGTGTGTGTTTACATTGATTTATTTGTGATTACAGAACGATGAAGAAAAATGATACTATTTTTAAATCCAAAGTGTCACCGTTACTATGTAATAAATGTTGGTTTGGTTGGTTGTTATTGATGGATGTTTTTGTTGTTGTTTTTGATACACTAATTTAGATCTACACATACCCACACATCTACGTTGAAGAAACAAAGTTCGTAAATAATAACGTTTTTCTACAATGATGATTATCTTTTAAAAAATTTTTTTCTTGAAATTAGAATCGCGAATTTTTTGGGATATGAATTTACAAATCAAATATGATGATGATCCAAAGTATGGCAGGTGTTGTATAACACATTTGGATTGTGAGTCTGCGTCAATCGAATTTTTCTATGAAGAAAAATTTCGAGTAAATTCTAGAAGAAAAAAAACGTAACCGCGAGAATTGGCGAGAAAATTCGCCATATTTTTTCAATGGCGCGCTGCTATATAATTGATGAAAGCGGCTTTTATAATATATTTATAAAAACGAAAACAATCATCAACAAAACGTATCATAATAATTTTGTTTGTCGAACTGTTCAGTTATTCAGCAACAATAATTTTTTTTAAAAAAACTGTATTTCTCATCTAATTCTTAATAAGAATTGCTTGTTTGTTTGTTTGTGACATTTGTCAAATTCGAAAAATTGTTGTTTGTTTTTGAACAAAAATGTCGAAAGCACCTGCGATTGGTATTGATTTGGGCACAACTTATTCTTGTGTCGGTGTTTTTCAACATGGTAAAGTAGAAATTATCGCTAATGATCAAGGTAATCGAACAACACCAAGTTATGTTGCTTTTACCGATACGGAACGTTTGATTGGTGATGCGGCTAAAAATCAAGTGGCTATGAATCCATCGAACACTGTGTTCGATGCTAAACGTTTAATTGGTCGACGTTTTGATGATCCATCTGTTCAATCTGATATGAAATTCTGGCCATTTAAAGTGGTTAATGAAGGTGGAAAACCAAAAATCGAAGTTGATTATAAAGGTGAAGTGAAACGATTCTTCCCCGAAGAAATTTCTTCAATGGTATTGATCAAAATGAAAGAAATTGCCGAAGCATACCTAGGTAAAAAAGTTACCGATGCTGTCATCACTGTACCAGCTTATTTCAATGATTCACAACGTCAAGCTACCAAAGATGCTGGTGCTATTGCCGGTTTAAATGTTCTTCGTATTATCAATGAACCTACAGCTGCTGCTATTGCATATGGTTTAGATAAAAAAGGTGGTGAAAAAAATGTATTGATTTTCGATCTTGGTGGTGGTACATTCGATGTATCAATTTTGTCAATCGATAATGGTGTATTTGAGGTAAGATATTTGTTTTTTGTAAATCTTTTCATTTTTCGCAACATTAATAATTATTTTTATTTATTTATTTATTAGGTCAAATCAACTGCAGGCGATACACATCTAGGTGGTGAAGATTTTGATAATCGTCTTGTTAATCATTTTATTCAAGAATTTAAACGTAAATATTCTAAAGATATGTCGGCAAATAAACGTGCAGTACGTCGTCTTCGTACCGCTTGTGAACGTGCAAAACGTACATTATCATCATCAACACAATCAACAGTCGAAATCGATTCATTATATGAAGGTATTGATTTTCATTCAACAATAACACGTGCACGTTTTGAAGAATTATGTTCGGATTTATTCCGTTCAACATTGGAACCAGTGGAAAAAGCTATGCGCGATGCTAAATTGGATAAATCAAAAATTGATGAAATCGTATTGGTCGGTGGTTCAACACGTATTCCAAAAATACAGAAATTACTTACTGATTACTTTAATGGAAAAGATTTAAACAAATCGATTAATCCGGATGAAGCCGTTGCATATGGTGCAGCAGTACAGGCTGCTATTTTGACTGGTGATACATCAAAAAATGTCCAGGATTTACTTCTGCTGGATGTTGCACCATTATCGTTGGGTATTGAAACTGCTGGAGGTGTAATGACAGCATTGATCAAACGTAATACAACCATACCAACGAAACAAACACAAATATTCACCACCTACGCCGATAATCAACCGGGTGTTACAATTAAAGTATATGAAGGTGAACGTGCCATGACCAAGGATAATAACTTATTGGGTACATTCGATTTGAATGGAATTCCACCTGCACCTCGTGGTATTCCACAAATTGAAGTTACATTTGATATTGATGCCAACGGTATATTGAATGTATCGGCTGTGGATAAAAGTACTGGTAAACAGAATAAGATCACTATTACGAATGACAAAGGTCGTTTATCGAAAGATGATATCGAACGTATGGTACAAGAAGCTGAAAAATATCGTGAAGAAGATGAACGACAACAAGCTAGAATTCAGGCTAAAAATTCATTAGAATCATATGCATTTCAAATGAAAAATTCTATCGAAGATGATGCCATCAAATCAAAAATATCCGATTCTGATCGAACAACCATTTCAAATAAAATCAAAGATGTACTAAACTGGCTAGATAATAATCAATTAGCCGAAAAAGATGAATTTGAAGATAGACAAAAAGAATTGGAACAAATCTGTCGACCTATCATCTCGAAATTGTATCAAGGTGCAGGTGGTCCAGGAGGTCCCGGTGGTTTCCCGGGTGGTGCATCAACTCATGGTGGTGGTGGTTCTAATAGTGGCCCAACAGTAGAAGAAGTAGATTAAGTGAATACATGAAACATCATTTGATTATATAATGTTTGTAACTGGTTGAACCAGTACTTGTTTTCATTATAATTTGATATTTTTGTTTCTGAAAATAATAATAATAATAATAATATTCATTCATGTTCTTCCTATCACTCTCAGGTTTAAAAAAACGTTAAATAAAAAAGTATTTTTGATCAAGTATCTTAAACTTTGAATATCCGAAACAAAAAAAAACCCGAAATCAGTAATCAGAAATCATCATCATTCATTATCATTCATTTATTTATATTATATAAATAAAATAATTCGATTATAGTTGTTCATCTGTGTTGTGTGTTTTGTTTGTTTGTTGTTGGTTGGTTGGTTGGTTTGTCAATAATAATTATTCAAATAATGTTAATGTCTATGTGTGTGTGTGTGTGAGAATTGGTGATCATACAAAAAAAAATCATCATCATCATCATTAATAAAATGTTTTTTTTCTTGGTGGTGATGATAATGAAGAAACACGGTGGTGTAATTAATAATAGTAGTAGTGGAGGAACTCCTGTTTCCACACATATTTACGTCAATAAAATTTCGTGGTTTTGTGTTGTTTTTTTTCTTTTCTTTTTTTTAGAAAAAAAAATTATTTACAAAATATCTATAGAAAAAAAAATGAAATTTGTAAATTAATTAAATCAAATTATTGATTTGTTTCAGTGTGTGTGTGTGCTTGAATGTTGAACAATTTAAATTGAATTATCATTTTCTTATTTGTAATAAGTATGTGTGTGATGATGATTTTAGATAATAAAGATTTGATATAAGAAATGATGATGATGATGAGATACAGATTTCTGTACACAAGAGATGAGATTAAGGGAGAAGAAAAATCCCCATATGATGATGATGATGATCGATTTAGTGAATGTTATCAATTTATATATAAAGAAGATTAGAAAGAAAAAAATTTGGAATTTCTTTTTGTTTCGTTTCAGAATAGCCGAACAACAACCGAACAAAAAAAATCAATAATTGTAATTGTGTGTGTGTGTGTGGATGGAAATTTTATCTGCGAAAAACAAAAAATTCTGCCCAATTTTGTTTTGTACCAACACAATGGTCAATTTGAAATTTTATAAATCGCTAATCTATTTCGATTATCATTGGATAGATGTATCTGCCTGTGTTTTTTTTGTATTTTTTTTCCTGGGCGGCTGTTAAATTGTATCTATTTTAATGGCTTGGATTTATTGGAGTTGAACAAAAAAATTTGAAATAAAATTTCTATGTTTTCAATCAATAAGATTATTTTTGATGTAGTTGAATTGAATAACAATAGTCTGTTTGTGTTTAATTGTTGTCATTCGTTTTTATTTGATTTCAACTTTATTAGTGGCGTTTATTGTCGGCAATGTTGTTGTTGTTGTTGATGATGCTACTGCTGCTGCTGCTGATGTCGTTGATGATGGGATATTCGTCTTCGTTGTTGTTGTCGAAGATAATAATGATGTTGCCGTTGTCGATTTAGGCATATGATATTCTTCTATACAAATTTGGCAACTCCATGAACCTTCCGGTGGTTCAGTTAATGGTGGTTTTAGGCAATACATATGATAACCACGATCACAATCATCGCAGAAAAGTAATTGATCCTAAAAGGGTTGAAAAAACGTTAAAAGAATCAATTCAATCAAATAATCGATTAAAACTTACATCATTATCGGATGTACCACAAATACCACAGGATTTACATTCAATACATTGCCAACGATATTTTTTCACTGATAATATCATTGTTGGTGTAAATTGTAAACAAGATGGATGTGCTGATCGTCCACAATCCGAACATGATACAAGATCTTCTGCTTCTTGTGTTTTTTTATTTTCATTCGAATCGCCCAAACAAAAATCACAATAATTTGATGGTGATGCTCTTTTTGATGGTGATGATGTCGTTGATTTTTGTTTATTATTATCTATATTATTATTATTATTATTATATAGATTATTTATTAGATATACACCCCAAAAAAAATCACATTTTATAAAACGATATTAATAAAATAGATTGTTTTTTTTATATAAAAAATAAAATGAAATGATTATTCAACAAATTCAATATAAATAACATTATCATGCATCACGGGTCAATTGAAAATTTGGAAAAAATTTATATATATCAATCAAGTCATTGACCATTGACAGAGAGAGAGAAAAAAACAGAAAAGAGAAAAGAATTAGAAAACCGAACCGATTTGATTTTTCAATTGCATGCATTTTTTTTTCGTTGTTGTTGTTGTTATTGTCATGGTTTTTTTTTGTTGTTGTTGGAAAACAATCATATTTACAAAATTTTGTTTGTTTTTTTTTACAAATATGATACATTTAAAAAAACAATTTTGTTCCAAAATCTTTGTCAAATCATGCATTCGTCATCATCATTTTTTTTGAATGTGAAAAAAGACTACTTTGATTGACCAATTGACATTCTATCATCTCATATTTTTATATGAATTTTGAAAAACCAAAAAAACAGTGCAAAACACCATATGGAAAAAGAATGTGCGAAATTGAAGAAAAAAAAATATGAAAAAATTGCAGGCAAGTGTTTCAATTTATATAATGGTGGGAAAATAAAATGAATTATATTTTGAATTCAACAAAAAAAAGGGAGAGAGAAAAAAAAGAAAAAGAAGATATTTCGTGCAATATGTTTGTTTTTGTTTGTCAAATCTCAAATGTTCGAAGTTTTCATCAATTCATGGTCAATAAAAAAAATATCATTACCTTTTCTATCTTTTAGATTATCATCCGATGATTGATTGATTTGTCCACGTGTTGCCGATACCGATGGTGATGATGACGTCGATGATGAATTATTTGGCAAATGATTCGTTCCAATCATCGGTATTGGTGATTGTGAATTCAATGAATGATGTAAATGAGAATGAGGATGATGATGATGACTGGATGTTGAATGATTAGTATTTGAAGACTGAATACTATGATGTAAATGTGGATGATGATGATGAAGATGAGGTTGATGATGATGATTTCCAGCTATTATTTGCTGATTTTGTGGTTGCATATTTGATTTTGCATTCGGTATGGTTGTTGTCGATGTTGATGATCCAAAAAAATTGGAATCCTCATCAGCTATCAATGAACCATTACCGGATGATGATAATGCACCATTACTATTATTATTATTAGAATTAGAATTATTAGAATTATTAGTTGTATTATTATTCTCATGATGACTATGTGAATAATGATAGGATAATCCTGGACGTGTTTTATAACGTGCACCACACAATTCACATTGATACGGTTTTTCTGAATCCGTATATTCGGAACGTTTCTTTTTCAATGTTGGTGTCGTTGTTGTTGATGATGATGATGATGTTGTTGTTGTCGTTTCTTTACGTTTTGATTTCTTTTTCCTTGAACTATATTCTTCATAATCCTCATAATCAGATTCTGGATCATCTAATTCACCTGCATCAGGCAGATCACTACCATCATCATCATAACGTAGCCATGAATCTTTTGAATCATCAAACATATCATTCAAGGCAGAATTGGAATTTGTATTGTTGCTTATTGATAGACAATTGCCATTTTGTACAATATTTGTATTTGTATTATTATTTGTATAATTCGTTGCATTCATATTAATTGTTGAAACATCTGGATTTGAAACACCAACACCGTTTGGACCAATTTGGCCAGCCATTGCCGCAGCAATAGCTGCATCATTTGAATTTGTTTCCGAATGTTCTTTAATCGTATTTGTTGTTGGATAATTATCATTCAATAAATATTGTCTACGTTTCTTTCGCCATCTTCGTGCCGGATATGAATATAATTGGGCTGAATGATAGCCTGGCATACGATCCAGTTTCGAGGACCATATATAACAGTCACCTATGATTTTTTTTTTGGAATTGAAAAAAAATTAATAATTTAGAAATCCAAATTTTGAAAATAATAATAAAGATTATATACTCTGAGCAACACCAGTTTGAGCGTCGATAAATGGCAAACGTAATTTTCTTTCTTTCACCAATCGTTCATTGTATGTTGATGAATTTTCCACAGCTTCTTTATACATTGGATCATTCATATAACTAGATTTAAAATAAAACAAAACAAAAAATTAATAAAATTGTGAAATAAAACTTTATAAAACAAACTTTTTCAAACGATTAACCAATTCATCGCTGATTTGTATCCGTTCATCGTCGGCCGACATGGCCGTTTATTGTATTTACACGTGTGTGTGTGTTTTCTGTTGTTATCGGCGTTGAGATTTTGTTTTTGTTGTTGTTGATGATGGATTTTGATAGAAAATTTTTTAGTGTTTCTTATGGTTTTACCTCTATCCAATCATACAACAACAACAACAATAATAAAAAATTTTCTGAAAAATCGATGACAATTTTAATGATGATGATGATTTTGAGATGAAATCGTATTTTTACAATCAACAAAGATTAAAACAAAAATCTGATTGTCAAAATAAAATATGATCAGCTTTAACTTTTTGACAATAACACACTATTCTCTATTTTTTTATTCAACGACGACACGAATAAAAATGTCCGGTAATGATGATGATGATAATATTGGACATGACCTCAATGTTTCGATGTTGTTGAATCATCGGGATTTCATTTCTATCAGTACATAGTTGATTTTCCATTCATTCATAAATCAAATTTAATCATTTTTTGATAACTAAAAAAGGTAGATGGATTATTATTTTTTTTTCAAAAAAGAAAGAAAGAAAGAAATAATTTTCTTTGATGCTTTTCGTTATTTTGATTATAATGTAAAAAAAAAATCAAAACACACACATTTACACACACAGACATCAATAGAAATTTTTTTTTCTCCTCCTCCTCCTCCTCTTTCGTTCGTTCACTCAAAAAAGAAAAAAACTTACTCATTCAGCTCAATATATTTTGTTCCATTGTTTTGATTATTGACTGTTCATAAAGTATAGGATTTTTGTTTTTTGTTTTGTTTCAATTCGATGATCCACAATTTTAATGTAATTTCAATCAATTTATTTTAAAATTAATCAATCGAATTTTTAGATAATTTTTGAATATCATTAAATTTGAATCAAATTTTAATTTTTTGTAAAAAATATTTTTGTTAATTGAAAAAAAAATTAATCATACTATCGTCTATGAATGGCAACAGAAAAGCGGCCAATATTATCACTATGTTGAATGCTACTACCTTTTATTCTATGTGTTATGTATTACATTCGAATGCGTGGCATGTGTATGGATTCAAAAAAAAAAAAAAATCCTCACAACACAAATCAAACAGTCAATATTCTTCCTTTTCCTACACGTTTCTCAATGTGTGTGTTCATTTGTGTCTGTTATTTTTGAATTTTTTTAATCAAAATTTTCACCAAAAATTATTATTTAAATATTTAAATTAATAAAATTTTTATGCTAAATCCATCATGGTTCGAATGAATGTTTTGGCTGATGCCTTAAAATCGATAAATAATGCAGAAAAACGTGGTAAACGACAAGTACTAATTCGACCATCATCCAAAGTGATTGTCAAATTTTTAAACGTTATGGTTAAACATGGTAAGGCTTTAAAAAAATTAAACGAAATATTGAATCTTTATTTATTGATGGTTTTCTTTATTTTTCTATAAACTAATTAATAACCAGGATATATTGGTGAATTTGAAATTGTTGATGATCATCGTGCGGGTAAAATTGTCGTCAATCTAACCGGACGATTGAATAAATGTGGTGTAATTAGTCCAAGATTCGATGTACAGATGAAAGATTTAGAAGCATATACGCGTAATCTATTGCCATCACGTCAATTCGGTTATTTAGTGTTGACTACATCGGGTGGTATTATGGATCATGAAGAAGCGCGTCGTAAACATCTTGGTGGTAAAATTCTAGGCTTCTTTTTCTAACAAAAGCAAAAAGCATTGACAAAAAAAAAATTCATTTTTTTCAAAAACAAAAATTATCAAAAAATGTATCCAAATAAATACATTTTTGTATATATAATCTGTGTCCGATTTTTTTTTCGTTTCAAATTCTATAGAATTTGTATTTTAAATGATTTTAATCTTTTCGGTAGAATCTTCCGAAAAAATGATTCATTAATTGGTTATTACCGTAATCAGGAAAAAATTATTTTCGGAAATATCTTTACCGATTTCAAACAAAAAGAATTTAAAATCGTATTGGTTGTGTGTATCCACATGGATAGAAATAGCCACGTTGCTATATTTGTGTGTTTGTATTCGTAGCACATGTCTCACTCTTCCTATTTCCTTTCTCCTGTGCTGTCTTGTTTGTGTTGAGTTTCGCTCTGTGTTTGTTTGTCTTTTTCGATTGGTTTTTCGAATTTTCGTTTCAAATTTTTGTACCGGAATCATCTTAATCATCGAAAATGGTGAATGTACCGAAATCTCGTCGTACCTTTTGTAAAGGTAAATGCAAGAAACATACATTACATAAAGTTACCCAATATAAAAAGGGTAAAGAATCGAGTGCTGCACAAGGACGTCGTCGTTATGATCGAAAACAACAAGGTTTCGGTGGTCAATCAAAACCAATTCTTCGTAAGAAAGCTAAAACGACCAAAAAAATTGTCCTTCGTATGGAATGTAGTGAATGTAAAACTCGTAAACAGATCCCGATTAAACGATGTAAACATTTTGAAATTGGTGGCGATAAAAAACGAAAGGGACAAATGATTCAATTTTAAAACATTAAAAATTTGTAACATTGAAAAACTTTTGCAAAAATTTAATGTATTTTTATCATTTTTTTTCGTCAATTATAAATGAATAAATCACCAAGTTTGGTTAAAATTTTGTTTATTTCATTTTCAGAAAAAAACTACCAATTTTTCTAATGACAAGTATCAATCATTGACGTTATGGGATATTTTAGTTTGATTCTTGTTTGATGGATGGCGCCAATGTCTTCATTAAAAAAAAAATCTACAATTTTCAAAGAGATTATTCGCGCCCATGCAATTAACTATAGTTTTTGAAATGGTAGATTATTTTTTTTATTTATTTCCAAATCTAAAAAGAGAGAGAGAAAGAAAAAAAAAGAAGCCGGTCATATAAATGAGCTTATATATTTTTTTATTTCTGGGCTTGTCATCGATGAATCGAAATTGGTGTGTCTGATTTTTATGTAAGAAGGGAAAAAAATCAACAGAAACGAAAAAAAAAATGTAATGATGAGATGGGTTGATCAAGACATCGTCGTCGATCCTGATGATCAATTCGTTATAATCATAATGAACCAACAAACTATTCGCCAAACATTAATCATTATCATCATCATCATCAAATCCTGAAGAAGAAGAAAAAACGGTGTTGATACAACATTCATTTTTTTACCTATAGGTGTAAAACATATGAAAAAAATATATCTCTCTCCCAAATCATGCTAAGATATAGTGCAATAAATTGCCAATTAGCAAAAAAAAACAAAACAAGATAGAAAGTGGAAATTTTTTTTTTTCGTTGAAAAATATTGATTCGATGTGGATATAATAATGATTTTGTCAGAATTTCAACAACATTTAATCTATGATCTCTAAATCGGAAAAAAATTGATGCTAAAACCATGATGATATGCCACGATGCTCGAAACTCTAATTAACCAAAAAATTAACACTCGTTTCACCCAAATCAACAATTCTTTTCATAAAATTTATGACATTTTTTTATTATTATTTGACATTTGTAAATAAATGAATCAATTAATCAATAAGAATATATAACTTATAAATTCATAATCAATAATCAATAATAATAATTTGACAATTTAAAATTCATCATCATCATAATAATAATTATTATAAATGATGTGTGAAATAATTAGAAGAGAGATGAGAAGGAGAAAAAAAATTAAAATAAATTGTCTGTGTTTGTGTGTGTGTGGGTGTATGATAAATCTATCAAAGATGTCAACTATTTATATATATGTAGAGTATCATTCATTCATTCATTCATTTAAAGATATATTATATGTCGAAAAGATGTAATGAATACAATTTTTAGTTTTTTGTTTTTTTGTTTTCAATGATTATTTTGTTGTTGTTGTTGTGTATGGTTTGGTTAAGGCAAACAAGAAAATTATTAAGAAGAAAAAAAAACATTGTATGATCATGATATTTGCAATGATCCGATGAATGAATCAAGAATCAGCATAAAAGAATGAGATGAAAATTTTTTTTTTTTTGAAAAAAAATGAACATTGAACATTAAATCCTATAGAACATTTGGAGAGATATATGGGAGTAAGTGTTGGTATGTTCATACATGTATGTAGTTTTGATGATTGAATGATTGATTGATGAGATGAGAATGAAGATTTGCACTTTGTTTCCAGATAAAATTGTCGGTTTTATAAGCTCGTCATAATCAGTTTGTCTGTGTTATGTTATTTTTTTATGAAATAATCTCACGAGTTTCGGCTAATGCAGCAATCAATTCGGAATTACTTGATGAATCACAATGATTATAATTATTCATCGTTGTTGTTGGTGTCGTCGTTGGTGTTGCTGTTGTTAATAAAGATGATGATATGGATGTTGCTGTACCATCCATTCCACCATTACCACTTGTTGATATTAAATCTGAATGTAATTCATTCGATATGATTGGATTTGATCCTGGACTATTATTATTATTATTATTTGTACCATAATGGAATGCAATATTTGGATCATTATTACTATTGCTAATACGACCATCACCACCACCGATTTCGAAATTATTTTGTCCGTAGTAAAGATTTGTATCATTTGATTGATAAACATTACCGGTATACATTGACAATTCTGGTTTGGATTCATTTTTTATATTATTATTATGATTATACATTGATGAATAACCATATAATGTTTGATTCATCATCATTGATGATTCAATTGGTGTTGACCATGATCTATGATGATGATATGATGATGATGATGATATTGGCAAAATTGATGATACAGATGATGATGATTCATTATTATTGATTGGTAATTCTAATTGATGTTGTAGCATTGATCTTGGTTGTGCTGGTGGTTGATCATAAGGATAATTCATTGGAGATTTTTCCATTCCAGAATATGGACTACAATTACGTTGATCATCACCAACAGTGTTTATAGCTGATGATGATGAATCTGATTGATGATTCGGTGGTGATAATTGTTGTTGTTGCTGTTGATGATGACGATAAGAATATGGTGGACATACATTCCGTAAAAATGTTGATGAACCACTAAAACGATTTAATAATTCATTGAATGGATCAGTTGATGATTTTTGATTTGAATTATTCAATTCATTATCATTATTAGCTAATGATTTAGTCGCTAATGATTTATTATTATTATCAACACCATATGTTTGTGCATGATGAAATTGTTGTTGTTGTTGCTGTGTATGATGATTATGATGGAAAATCGATTGTTGTTGTGATGATGGTACTGGCGGATACATTGTATGTAAATCATTCATAGGTGAATGATAATGCTGATGATGATGATGAGGATGATGTTGAGATCCACTTGTATGTAGCCCGTATCCATGTTGTTGATTGTGAAGTAGATGATGATGATGATGATTGGAGTGATGTAAATCATTTTCAACAGGTGACAGTTCCGGTGTTGGTAAAGATTTTATTGTTTCACGTGAATTTCCTTTTCCTTGTTGAGATAATGATGATAACGGTGGTGGTGGTGGATAATCCAATGGATTTGTTAAAGAGATCTGATCATTCATGACTAATGTTGTTGCTGTTGTTTGTCGACCTGATGATGATTGAATTGAATTATTCATCGAACCTATCGATGATAATTGTTGACCGGTGGTAGAGTTGGCGGTATAATTATTATGATTATGATAAAATGAACGTGGTGAATGTTGATTAAATCTATTATTATTATTATAGATTATATCATTGGATTGTGGATTTAAAGCGGATGAAATAGGACTACCATGTGGTGATGAATCGGGTGTTTGAACACCACCATAATCTAATGATGGTGAACTAATGGATGAATTATCGGCCATATCATGTGTTGCGACCATTAATTGTGATGATGGTATTTGTTGTTGTTGTTGCTGTTGTTGATGGGAATATAATAATGCCGATGATGATGATGTTGATGATAATGTTGGTGATATTAGATTATTATCATCCGTATTACAATTTAAATGATTCAATTTTTTTGAATTTTTTATATGGCCATTATTACGATTTGTAATCGATTTTGGTGATGTTGATGATGATGATTGTGCATTTGATGATACTGTTGTTGTTGTTGTCACATTACGTTTACTATTCTTTTTTCTTCTTGGTCTATATTTATAATTTGGATGATCTTGCATATGTTGTACACGAAGTCTTTCGGCTTCTTCAACAAATGGACGACGTTCCTGATGTGATAATGATTTCCATCTTTTACCTAGAAAAAAAATCAATTAAAAAAAGAAAAAATCATTAGAATCATTTTAGAAAAATTGACAAAAAAGTTAAAATTTTCAGAAAAGATCAATCAAGAATGATACATTCATCGATCAATCAATCAATTCAATTCAATTCAATCATTCGATTTTTTTACATTCATTTGGAAATTCCAATTTCCGCATCAAATTTATAAACAATAGAACACACAAACAAACATCACAAACATTGCATCAGACGAAAAAAAAGACATCAATAAATAAAAAGAAATATAAATCATATGATGATGATGATAATTATTATTTCATGCATTCTAATTTACACCACCATCACCACCACCACCATCATCATCATCATAAACATCATCATTGAACAGTGGAAAGAAGAAGAAGTAGAAATCATTTCGTGTAGTCCGTCCAAAAATCTTTTCATTTCATTTCTTCATTTTTTCACGAAGTTTTCTTTCTTTTGTTTAGGTTCGAATATCGATATCATCATTGAAAATCTTTTGAGAAAATAAAAAAACATATCATCATCATCATGATCGACTATGATCTCTCTATATATAAGAAAATGATGTTTGGTTTTTCTTCTCTATTCGAACGAACCGCGAACCAAACTCATATATATCCTGTATATCCATATTTCGTTATGAAATAAATGAAATTTCTTTATCGACAAACATCATCATCATGATGATCATGATGATGATGATGATCTCATCGTTCGCAGAAAATCGAGATTCAAAAAATGAAATGAAAAACCCGAAAAAATTTTTTTCCGTACCGAAATATCTATCATCATCATCATCATTGGCAAGAAATGAAATCGTTATGAAAATATATAGATTATGATCAAATATGGCGCCCGATATTATTATTATTATGATGGTGATGATGTTATTATTATAAATGTGGATCATCAACAACAACAACAACAATCATCTATTGACGATCTGAAATGATGGCCATGATGATTAAGGAAATATATTTTCGTTTCATTTCATTTTATCTTGCCCCTCCCAACTTTCTGGTTGTTGATGATGATGATGATTATGATGATAATATCATTGATTCGGATCCTGGTATCATCATCATCATCAATTTTTAACACCATTATCATCATCATCATCAAGATGGCTAAACCATGGATGATGATGATCATAAACTATTGTAAAACTGATGATGATGATGAAGATGACTACCACACATCACACATCATTATTATCATTATAAATATATGTGAAATGTAGATTTTAATAATGAAAAAAAATTACCCTGTTTTCTTCTTCTGATTGAATCAGAAGAAAAAAACTGACCATTAAATTGATGAATGAAATGAAGAAATGAAGAAATGATAATGAAAAATGTCGATTCGATCGTCGTCGTTGGACAGTGTCCAGTTGATGATGATGATGATGAACGATAATGGTTATCGGGGAGAGAAAAAAAAATGAATTCAATTTTGAAAATTCCCCGGTAGTTTTTTCTTTATCATCATTAACATCATCAAACTACAGAAGTTCAACTTTTGGATAGATCAATCTCTTTTGGAAATTCGTGAGAAAGAAAAAAATATAGCGAACGGAAACGAAATAAAACCGGAAAATACAAGCATCACCACCACCACCACACACATTGATATCGATCATAATGATTCAAGTTGATTAATATCATTAAGATGATGATGAAATCTTTAATTTTTTTTAAATGTCTTGACACGAATTTTCCTGTCATCTTAAACAACAACAGAAGGATTTCAATTCGATTCATTACAATTAATTATTTTTTTGCTGTTGTTTTGTTTTCTATCGTAATTATTATTATAAAATGTCATCGTCACAAACATGAAGACATGGTGGATAAAAATAAATAGAAACGAAATCTTGACAAAATTTCTTCCTTGACGATGATGATGACGACGACGACGACGATAATGAATTTCGAAAATGATCATGTAATTAAAGACGATGACGACAACGAATGATGTTGATGATGATGATAATTATTATTACAAGGTATATGAAGAAACCGGAACAAACGAATCTCGTTTTTTTCGGATCGACTTATCGATACTATCGATTAATCGATAAATTTTTTTTATCTTCTTCGTTTACGATGGACACTTCTGTTTCCTGAAGAAATGATGGTAAATATTTGAAAATTATCGATTATTGAATTTGTTATCAAAATTTTTCTTTTGGAAATCGATTCTGATTTAATCGATTATTATGAAATTTGATCGATCAGTTTTTCGGTTGTCTTTGTCTTGAACTAGGTCTTCGACCTGTTTGATGATAATCATGATCATAATGATAATGATTGTGGAAAAAATGAACCTGAGAAAAGAAAATTCTTTTTTCGGATCATGACAAACAAGAGAGAGAAATGAAAATGAAAATGATTCATGAAACATGATTAATCAACAGGTTGAAATGAATCATCAAACTACATATATAGTTTAATTGTGATGTAATTAACGTTAATTTTTTTTTTCTTCTTGTTTTTTTTTTATTTTGGATCAATGTCATCGTCGTCGTTGTTGTTGTTGACATTACCACACACAAACAAACAAACAAATACTGACCATATAATAATAATCATCATCAAAATAGAATATATAGAGTGGCTTAAGTATTATATAAATTATCCATTCTGATATAAAGCCAAGGGATTCACATGTCATCATCATTTTGTAGTATATTATAAACAATAGTTTTGACATGAATTTCTTGTCGTTGTTGTTGTTGTTGTTCCATGAGAATAATAATGACGTAATGATGATGATGATGATTTAGTGGTAAAATGCATGTAGATTTTTAATTTTACGTTTTTGTTGTTGTTAGCATTGTCGTTGGGAAAAATTTCGTAATTAAACAAAATTTTTAATTGATGTAATTAATTAACGAAAACATTCGAATGTTTGAGAATCGAATGTTTTTGTTTGTTTGTTTGTTGTTACACAAGTATACATAAACCACAAACATTCGAATAGGATACTATCGATACTATCGATACATATTTATTCGAATGTTTTGCAAAACAGATTCGAATGTTTTGTTTTTCTCCAAAGTATCATTGTCAAATCTAAATAATTGATGGTGGTTGATATTGAAAGATTCAAACTAAAATAAATAATCATTATTATCAAAGTTTTTTTTTGCCCGAAAACAAAAATTGTTTCATCCAAATTTTATCGAAAAACATTATTCTTCTTCCGAATTCAACGAAAAACTTAGTCATTTTTTTTGGCTGTTGGTTTATAAAATCCACAACAACAACAACAACAACAAAAAATCTCAAACAACTATATCTCAAAGCTACATCATTAAAAATTTATAATGAAAAAACGAATGAATGATGGCCAGAACAACAGCGAAATAAGAAGAAGAATTTCTTTTTTTTACAAGGTCTTTTACAATACTTTTTGTTCATTATAAATACAAATCATTGCCGTTTTTTTCTCCAAATCATGCATCTATGTTTATATACCAAACATTATAGACATGTGTGTATAATGATAATAATGATAATGTGATGTTGATCAACAACACACACACATTATCATCATCAACATCGAATGTTTGTTAACGTAAAAAACGATACGATGACCATGATGGCTCGTGTGTTTGTAAGTATAAGTGGACATGCATCAGTCATGATGTTGTATTTTCGTGTTGTATTTGAAAGAATTTCTTAAATTTCAATTTTTTTCATGTTTCAATCAAAACAAAATAACAACATTTCATTTCGGTTGGTTAATTTTTCTCACCATATTTTTTTTCAATTTCGCTTTCTCTTTGACAGAATTACAAAGTTTACACATAGAGAAATAATGCGAAAAAATGAAGCCAACCAAAGAATGAATAGAAAACATGATCATCAATTGTGGCTTGAATGAATAAACATATTCGATTTATCGTGGAATATGGCTTATAACACCTTTTTTTTGACTTAATCATCATCACGACGATGATGGTAATGATATGGATGATGATTTTTTTTCTCTGTTTGATAATCATTAGAGAATTTCGAAGAAGAAAATTCCGAATCCTTTTTTTTGTAGGGTAAAACATTCAATGTTTTCGCAAAATTCAAACGCGATAACGAAAGAAATTCAAACAAAAATTTAATGACCTTTTTGCCTGAATGATAATGATGATTATGATCATCATCATAATAACGATAATAATGATGATAATCATCATCATCATCATCTTCAATAAAACTTAAACTTCCTTCCTTTACCTGGTCATCAATTCATTGTCATTCTCTCATTCTCTATGTGGATAATAATGATGACAATAATAATCAAGAACGAGAAAGAAAGAGAGAAAAAAGCAAAAAAAGTGTGTGGTAGAAGGGTCACCACCACAATTGGAAAATGAAGAAATCTAATACCAACCAATTTCGATTATAAAAATTGTTCAGGTAAATGAAAACTTTTATGAAAAAAATAAAATATTGTGAAATGTTCTCATTGTGTAAGTAGCTTTAATTTTTAAAAAAGATTTATTATTATTCATATTTTATGATATAAATATCATCATCATCAATGATCAAATGATGATGATGATCATCATCATCATTATTCATTGAAAGATGAATCCATAAATACATCAAAAAGGCTATTATCATTATCAATCGATGGTAAAAAAAAAATGGATCTACACACACACAAAGATCATCATCATCGTTTAAATTTTATTTTATTTCATTTCATTTCAAAGTTACTTCTTGGATTTTAAACTGAAAAAAAACTTTTAATCAAAAAAAAAATCTGATATAGATAATTTCTGATCTATCGATCATTCAACAAAACGAAAAAAGTTAAGGTGTATGTGTTTCACATATTGAGAGTCTATCCATCTTTGAAAAAAAAATTGAATTTTGAATTTTGATTTTTCTCTCTTTTCTCTCACTCTCTGAAACAAACAAACAAACAACAGCAAAGAATGTGAAACGATTATCAAGTTAAGAATGATATATTATATCAAGCAAC